AAAGAGACAAAAAATATATTTTCTACAATATCTCAAACATTATTGGATTAAAAAGGAAACAATGTTACATAGCAAGTCGAATTTTTAATTGGGGAGCGGGGCAGATTTTAAACATATCATATACAAGTCAAAGTGAAGTAAGGGCAAAGCAAGTCTCATTACTGTTAATTCTCATTTATTACTCCATTATGTCTTTGTGCCACATTCAGTTAAGTAAATATCTGTTAAATTATTACAATTAATAAATTAAGTGAATCCCAAAAAATGTACAAACTTTGTAAGAGTAAATGAAAAATGATATCAGCATTAATTCCACCCTGAAAATGAATTAAAACAATTGCTGTTGGCATTGAAAATTTTCTTATGATGATTTGACAAATTTCAAGTTTAAAAAAAAAAAAAACATACCAGAAATTCATTTTATAAATCTGATGACTGATAAAATGACATTTCATCAAGAAAAGAAGAAATGATGGCAGATACAAAAAGGTTGTGATAATTAAAAACAAAACAAAAAAAAAAAAAACACAGTAACAAAAAAAAAAAACTGCTAATTTGTACAAACATTTTTAGTCAAGTGAAAAATTTTAATCAACAGAATATACAAAGAAAATCAAACAGAAAAGAAAAAAAGTTTTTAAAAAAGAAAATAAAAAAATATTGGTCTTTAAATCTTAAAAGTCCAAAATGTCCAAAATTTTACCAGAGCCTCAAACATTAGACAGCCATAATCTAATCAAAGAACATTTTTCTCAAATTTAATTTAATTAATTAAAAACGCAAGCTAGATTTTTGTAATGTCTAATTTTATTTAAAACTTGACAACATTTTTGAGGTCACAAGGAAGAAGAGAAACAAATAATACAGGAATGGGATATTTACAAAGTTGTGTTTGCTTTTCTAGAATCTCAAAAATAATATGATGTCAAAAGTTTTAAAAAGTAATATTTACAATATTTTACAGAGCAAAAGAAAAAGATTTTTAAAAAATATATATATACCCCCCCCCTCCTTTTTGGACACAAATTGAAATGGACTTGAAAAGATTTACCGATCAACAAAAAAAGCAAGGCCTGGCAATCTGATCACAAACTTCAAAACAAAAAGAAAATTCTTTTTACATTATAAGTGAGGAAAAATTGTTAAATTTTTTCTATATATATATACATATATATATAAAATGACTGTTCATTTAATTTTTTTGTTTTTAAAGTTCCACAGGCATTTGATGATATCACAGTGTAGCAGGATTAAGATATTCCATGTTGGAGACAAGTATGTGTGGATGTGTTTTTTTGGGGTTTTTTTTTTTTTTGTCTTTTTTTTCAACCTTTGTCCTCAAAGCCAAAACTTGTTCTTTTCCAATATTATAGACAACCAAGGCATTTCACAGTTGTTTCAACTAATGGTCAATGAATGAAAAATTACAGACAAATGCAAATACACACAATATATGGGCTATTTTCTGGCCTACAAAAAAACTATTGGATTAGAATTTTTGGCATTGAAAAATGTGAACGCAAGAATAGGTAATATCAATGAGTTTTTTAGCATGAAAAATTAGTAAAAAGGTGACACTAGTTTTATTTGAAAAAGAAAAGAAAGAGCAATGGAACCACAGATTCCAGAAACAAGTAGTGTGAAGAATACAAGTGTGTCTAGATTTGCAAACATGGAAAGAAGAGGAAGAGGTGCAAAGAATTTCTAACATTTTAATTCCTCATCTAAAAAATATACGATTGACAGAAACAAATCCAAACTAATTTATCAGCTAATTTTTTTTCCAGTTCACCTCAGGCTCAAAGAACATATGTAATTTTCAAATGAAATTTTGACAACTCAAAACAGAAAAAAATAATACAAACTTATTTGCATTCACCTTCCTTTTCTAATTAAATGACATCAGAACAAAGTGAAAATAGACATTATGTACTTAACTATTCAACTATTTCCGAAATCTTGGGAATCTAAGAATTTGTTATTAATAGATAGAAAACAGGGATTAATTGTGTCCAGAGTTTCCTATTTTCCCCTGACACACATTTGTTGGTATAGACATGGCCTGTTTCTGATGAGGTAAGCCATGTTGAACACTGAACAGTGAGGAAAGAAACTTGACTGGATTCATAACCCCAGGATTTGTGAGTACTTCATGTCAGTGTCCGAATGTTGAATAAAGAGTATGTGATAATTACTCATGATTAACCAACTTGGACAGCATTTAACTCAACATTCAATTGTCTTTATTTAATAAATGGGAAAAAAAAAAACTATACACCAGGGGATTCTTTGTTTAGGTGCAAAAGTCATTCATTACCCATTTTATGCTTTATAAAAAGTACATAACAATTTTTTTTTATTTGATAAGAAGCTATTTTAAGCAAAATCTTGAATAATTGCCTTGTGTTAGCAGCTGTGTAAAAAAAAAATCTGTTACACTTAGTTTATTTCAAATGATCAATAAAAGCTTTGAAATTAGTCTGAAATTTCTTTTACTAAAACAACCACAAAATAACAATTAATAAATACTGGTTAATTTAACAGATTTAAAAATTAGATTAGAACAGCCAAACAAGTCTACACTTATTTTTTCAAGTAGAGTGCAAATATTAAAAAGACTTACAATTCAGTAAATTAAATCAACTTTGAAAACAGACACAGGATTAAGTAATCAGTGTCAAAATATATACAATGTACATTTCTTATTTCAAAATATATACAATGTACATTTCTTATTTCAAAATATGTACAATGTACATTTCTTATTTCAAAATATGTACAATGTACATTTCTTATTTCAAAATATGTACAATGTACATTTCTTATTTCAAAATATGTACAATGTACATTTCTTATTTCAAAATATGTACAATGTACATTTCTTATTTCAAAATATGTACAATGTACATTTCTTATTTCAAAATATGTACAATGTACTTATATTACAATGTTATTTCTTATTTCAAAATATGTACAATGTACATTTCTTATTTCAAAATATACAATGTACATTTCTTGTTCAAAATATTATTTGTAAATTATTATTTCAAAATATGTACATTTCTTATTTCAAAATATGTACAATGTACATTTCTTATTTCAAAATATATACAATGTACATTTCTTATTTCAAAATATATAAAGTGTATGTTTTTGCTATAATAACTTAGTAATATTTTAAAAAGGGCAACAAAGTAAACAAAAATGTATTTTGGAATGCAGAAAGAGTTGTATGGTATTCAGACTTGCTTAGTTGGCCAGACAAAATTAAAAGTTGGGCCTTATTTAAAACACTTTATTTAAAAGAATTGTCTACTTTAAAAAAAAAAAAAAAAAGGATGTCCCATGTCTGGATAATGCCAGTTTATTCAATGCCTGTCATGCAAAATGATAAAAATTTATCTCATTACTTGGCAAGTCACAGGAAGAAAAAAAAATTAGTTTTCATGTTTAAGATGAAAGAGTTCAAAAATCAGTAAATACATTTTACTACCAACTTTGGCCTGACAAATTCTAGGACAAAGGATCAAAATAATAATAATAATAATAATGTATAAACAAATACCCCTTCAAGAAATTTATTTGGTCAGACAAGAAATTATGGTAGATTTTGTTTACATCATCCTCAACATATAAGGAACTTTAAAGAAGTTTTATTCATTGAAAAGAAATAAGCTAGCAGCAAAAGATGAAGACAAAAACAGGAGGAAATCAAACCTTTGTAAATCAAATCTCATATTATTCAGTGTATATTTTCACCTTAAAATTTAAGCTTAAATTCTGCTTGTGTCCTATACATCAAACATTATATATATATATATATATATATATATATGTGTGTGTGTGTGTGTGTGTATGCATGTGTAATATACACAAGTCATGCATGTATATTTTTATTTATTTTGTTTAAATGTTATTATTGACGGATACTCGTATGCGAGTAGAAGCTCTGTCTTTTAATTAAACAGTATTTTTTATACAATCACATCTACTGGCCTAAATATTTGAAAAATCTTGTCAGAAATATATAAACAGGAATGCTTTAGTTCTCTTGACTGTGTTATTTTATAACAATAATATGGATTTAAAACTTGAACTGCACATCACCAATCCAAGTGCTTAATGCAGTTAATGTCAGCAATCACATAATTGATATTTCAATTTTCATTGGATGCTCAGCAAAATTTCTTTAAAATAAAGAAGCATTTTATATTCAGAAAAACATGGTACTTATTTCAAAATGTTTTTTTTTTAAAAATGGCTATATACTTTGTTAACAAAATATCTATCTACCAATGTCACAGATCTTAAAACACTTTGGATGTGAACACCAGCTAGATCTATTGTTACTAAAGAGGACAAGAACAGATTTTATTTAAGTCATAAATCAATGATCACTCCTTGGATGATTAAAACAAGATAGGAATCTTAACTTCTTCATTAAGTGATGTGAAATTAAAGAGATGCTAATGAGACAAGAGGACACCTGTTTTCAATCTAAGTGGGAATATTGTCAGGAAAATGTGAACAAGTTAATCATCTTTATTACAAGGAAAGACAGCCATTCTCTCTTGGGTCACTCTTACTTGAGTAGAAGAAATCTGCACCCCAGTTAAATAAAGAAAAACATACAGCTTGTTTTAGAGAGAGAGAGAGAGGAAAGGCCAAAAAGTTAAATTTTCTGTATAAATGATATCTGTGTGTGCATTTTGTTTTTTTGTTTTTTTTAAAGTTTAGCTCTCATATTTAAAAATCTATTAAAAATCCTATGATATGAGAAAACAAAAAATCCATTTTTTATAACAAGATTATATATTAAAAAAAAAATCATGGACAAGGGTGGTAAAGTTTTAGGACTGGAGGCCCATAGCATTCATCAGAAGAAAAAAAAAATGGCCATCCAGATTTGGGGATAAACCCATGCAAACAGTTTAATCGGATCTCAACCACACATGTGCAACAAATGAGAGAACAACAATGAAAATAGAAAAGATCCTCACCCTTTTCTCAGCCTCAATTTCATTCTTGCAGTCTTTCTTAATATCCCTGAGAATTTGCTCATGTACAGCCAGGCTAATCACAGAATCATCAGTTTGAGACTCGCCATCCCGGCATGCTTCCAAACGAGCCTCAAGCTGTCTACATGCATATAGTTCAGCTTTAGTCTGTTCTAACTCTGCCTCATACTTCTTCAGTCGAGCAGTAGAATCATCAAGCTGCTGGTTAAGCTGACAAAGCTTTGCATCTTGGGCGACGGCCAATTCTAGACGCAAATCATTCAATGCACATTCTTTGGTTTCATTGCACTCTTGCCACACATTGTCATACTTTGCTTGCAAGTGGATAAAATCTGCTTTCAACGAGTCCATGGATGCATTGTGCTCATCTGTAAGCTGCTGCTTTGTCTCCAAGATGACAGAGTTCTTCTCCGTGACAAATGCCATTTTGAGATTTTCAATTAGCTCAGTCTTCTCTCGTTCATATTTCTGCGTATATGACTCGGACATGCAGGCAATTTCCTGAGTCAGGCTCTCCACCTGGCTCTGCAAGCAGGACATGCGCCCACATTTCTCAGAAAGCTGCATCTCCTTTTGGTCCAAAAGTTCCTGAAACTCGGCTCTCTGTTTATCTAATTCAACTTCTCTCTCCAGCAGATATTTCTGATTCAGCTCTTTGCATTTCTCGTTCTCCACATTTAATTCAGCTACTTTCTGAATCAATTTCTCACATTCTTCACGGCTTTGCTTATACACATCTTCCAGGTTTGCCTTCTCTTGAACCAAACTCTCAATCCGCCGGTCAGCCTGACTCACTTTATCAGTCAGTGCCTGCATGGCTAGCTCATGCTCTTTCTGGAAAGACAAAAAGTTCTCTGTGCGTTCTTTTTCTTTGTTAGCATTGAACATGCGAATGGCTTCCAAAAGATTCTCCTGCACCAAATCGGCATGAGTCACAAAGTCAGTCTGGTTTTGCCGTACTAGCTCATGTAAATTACAGAGTTGCTCCCGGAACTCGGGCACACTACGCTCCGTAACATCTTTTAAGGTTTTCAGTTTGTCTGCTGTCAGCAAAGACCTGGTACGACAAGCCTGCAATTCACGAGAGAGTTTCTCCGACAGTTCACATTTCTCCTGAAGCAACTTATGCAGTTCCTCTTTTGGGATGCCTTTGTGTGACGTAGCCTCTATTGACGAGGGCATAGATTCATCAAAATAAAAATCAGCTGTTGTAAATTCCTGAGACGTCTCGACTTCAGGAGAAGTATCTGAGGCTAGATGACCCTTGGCTAGTTGCTTCCGACTCGACAAGCTTTCACTGCTCTGTTCGACGCTTCGATTAGCAGCATCTATTTCGGACGACAATTTACACACATCAATTGGCCCATGCAGAACTTGTCCTACGAGCTTTGGAGGAGACTCTGATTTTGTCAGCGTAGAGTCCTTCTCCTCAAGAGAGGGCTCACCAATGCCTTCTGTTGTAGTCTGAGTGTAACTATCAACAGTTAATGAGATTTGCTGATGGTTACTACTTCTCCTAGCCCGCTGATCCTGTTTGGAGTCAACACGGATCATCGAACACACGTATGGCAAAGTGTCCACCCCAGTTGTGAATTCACCAAGTGGAGCAGTTAACTGTTTGGTTTTGGTATCAGAGTCTTTAGGGATTATTGGAGAGTGCAGCTTCAAGGACAGTCTTTCTTCCACCATTTCTGGATGTTTGGTGCGGAGCTCTTGAAAAACTTTCTCACTGACATTGGTACACAGACGCGTGTAGATTTTCTTCTTTGGAGGCATTCTAGAAAAGAGAAGATGAAGACATCAGACAAATACAAGGAGGATGCAGAGACAAACCATTTCATATCTACAAAAAAATCACAAAATGATATATAAAATTTTCAGTCATCTACACAGGCTAAACAAAATTCAGAAATCACAGAACAATGATAGAAATTCCAAGAGTCATTCCTGGAATTAAATGAAATTGCTCATTTTTTATTTTTTTCATCACAACTGTTTGGCCAATTATTAGGGCTTTTGGTATAATAATAAAATCAATGTTTGTATACACACACACACATACACAAGTACAGCTGTTCTTAGACTTACAATAAGATTACATTCCAATGAGCAAATTGTAATAAATGGGAAAAATAATCTTGAAAATGACTAGGATGTTGAGATTTTTTCTCTAAGGCAACAGTTTTTTGTACTCTTTATCACAAGAAACAAAAAAAATGTACTTGGCTGTTTAGCAGTCATTGGCTTTCAAAAATACAATAAAAATGGGTGTAAAAATACTGAATGATAGAAAGTTAAGATATTAGCACTGAAAATCACAAGTCAGAAACTGGAGGGTGGATAAATACAGCAGAAATATTGTACAGTATCACTAGGCTTGTGTGACATTCAGCCACAAAAAACAATTTAAATATTGAATTTTCATTGCTATCATGACAACATAAAAGCTAAAAAAAACAAAAAAAAACAAAAAAAAACTCAAATCTGATCACTGTATCATGAAGAGAAACTAGTGATTTTATAACATATTTATGTAATAATTTTCGAATAAATAATTATATATATATATATATATATATATATATATATAGTGGTTCACCCTTTACAGAGCCTGGTGACCACTCGTAGTAGAGGGTTATGTTAGGAGGCCATTTGTAGGAGTAGAGGATAATGATTAACCCTGGCCTTGAACTGGTTAAGATTGTAGTGATCAGAGAAAAATCCTGTTGGAGGTCAGTTCCACAGGACAGAAGTTGCTAGAGTGGAACTTACTTCTCACCAATATGAAGGGAATGCAGTCTATACCAAAAATAAGAAGAGGCTTTCAATTATTTTGAAGTGTCAAATAATAAGGTGAGGAGGAAATATACCAGCTGAAATATTTTGATAATACTCAACAAAAGATAGGGATAGTCGTTTATAATAATTGGTAGAACAAACTGCCAGCCAAGAAATTCTTGCAGAAACAAGGACTTTTCGGGTGATTTCAAATTACAATATTTAATGCTACACAGATTCAACAGAATATTTTCAGAAGAATGACCGAATACTTTTTATAATAAAGAGAATACTTTATTTTTCTACTCAAAAGAATAAAAATAAAATTAAATAAATATCTAAAATAGCAGCTTTTAAAGCACTAAAAAATTCGCCACATTTTAACTAAAATCTAGACTTGCAAATAAATTGCTTGTAATTCAAAGGGAGATAATTTATAATTGCATTAATTAAAACCAGTTTCATATTACTGCTAAGAATAAAAATACCACAAATCTTTGGAACATCTAGTAGCATTTGTTTAAAAGCGAGTTCAAATTTTTATAAACTGTTTCCAAGTGATTTTTAAGTATTTACTGCATGGTTGTAAATTTTTATTTAAGGAGACAGATTTTTCCAAAAAACATTAAGAAAAACAAAAAGTTCAGCAATTCTAAAAACTACAAAAGTCAATAGTTTTTATTTACAAAAAATATTTAGTAAAAGTTGATACTTGAAGGTGGTTCCTTTTGCCTTCAAAACCTGAATGATACAATGACTTAGTTTGCAAATTTAGAGACCATAGATTGAGTGATATTCACGTTGGCTGGTTTCAGCTCCTAAAAGTGCAATATTTGGTGTTTTGTAGTGTACACATCTCTTGTCACTATTCTCCAAAGCTTTGTAGACAAAGATAGAATATTTCATTACTGATAAAATGTAATTCACCGATATAGAAAATGGTGCAAAACAAACCTATGAACAACTAATTTTGTTTCTTTTAGATTGTACACAATGACAAAAGAAGTGGTGGAAACATTGTGCCCATCAAAACTGAAGCTCTTTCATTTGTACAGATCACATCGTGCAGATCATCTTCTGTGCTTATGCAAATACATTTTTAGTTTGCATTAATACTGTATGGGAGTTCTTGACCAAAGTTTTGCAAATGAAAGATTTCGATACTTGCTGTACCAGGTTTGTTTGTATCTTTTAACCAAATGTCTTTTCTATAGCATCTCTTACACTTCACCAAAAGCATCAGGATTTCCCAAGAAGTTGTAAATCAGTGATAAAGATTTTCTGAAAGATCCATTTAAAATATTTGTGACAGAAATCTAACTAAAGTAGCAATAGAAAATAAGATGATGTCTAAATCCTGTGATTGTTTAGAAATTCAATTAGAAAATTTATTTTGGTTTTTGACCTGAGGAATTGTAAATATTGTTTAATTTATTCAAACTATTGTTCTCATCTTGATTATGTTTTTGATGTTATTACAGACAACATTTCTGCCAAGTACTCTCTGGCCATCTTCAGGTATCTAATTGTTTTGAGTTGATATGGGATATCTGATGATTGCGTGATTCTGTCCCTGTGATACCAGTTCTTGTCATCTAGTGGCCATGAGTTCAATCACTGGATCAGGTAGTGAAACAATATACACTTGATCAGCAAGAAAAAACAAGTACTGGCATCATAAAATAATACAATCAACAAATATCCCAAACCAGCCCAAAACAATGGACACCTGAAGATGGCCAGAGAGTAATTAGCTGAAATATTGTCTATAACATCAATAATAATCAAGAAATGAACAACAATTTGAATAAATTACAGCATATTAAAAAATGTTTATCAACAAGAGAAGGTAAACAATACATGGATTTCCTTTTAATAGCCAGCATTAAGAAATATTTGCAAAAACTGAGCATCAAAAACAAAACAAAAATGAGTCAATATTTGGTTCTGTCATTAAAACCCTGAATCTTACTTCAATAGAACAAAATGTCAAAGAAGAGAAAATACTTAGAATTTTGTTAAATTGTCCTCTTTCTTCATCATCCAGCTTTTTAGAAAGAACAAAATATCTTAGATTCCGTTAAGTAACATTATCAATGTTTATTTATATAACAGTTAAACACGAAACAAACAGCAACAAGCAAAAAATATAAATTGGACAATTTTGAAAGAATTCAGAGTAATGTCTCCAAAAGAGTTTTGTAAAGTTCAAAATCAGCCTCTACTTGTAACAATTCATGTTGTATATGAAGGAGACTCACATTAAAGAACTGGCCAATTCAGGAACAGCTTTCTTCAATTTTTCAATATCTTCTATTGTTACTTCTGGAATATTATGATCAAATGACCTTGGCGAATTGGTCTGAAAAAAAAAAAAAAAAAAAAAAAAGGACATTTTTAAAACAATTATTTTAATACAAACATTTTATTTAACTGCAAAAGCTAAAAAGTTTTAATGGTCATTGTTATTTTAGGATTTTCTCTTGAAAAAATCTTTTTAAATATTTCAATATTGAAGTTGAAGGTAAAAATAGAACTGAATATTCTTTTTTTACTAATTGATATGAAAATGGTTCATTTAACGAAAGGTAATAAAATAATTGTCAAACTGTTTTAAGTTATTTGAAAATGATAGAATAAGTATTAAGTGTGTGCAAAAGTTTCCAGTGGAAGAAAAAGAAATAACAAAGAATTTCTGAACATAACTAATGTATTGTAGGTATGTACAAGGTGTGTCAGAATAGTAACAAGACTTACTGTGCTGAGATATGAGTGGCATAGGGATTAGCAAATTGAATACATAATATCCGGGAAGTATATAACTGCAAATTCACTTGACTGCAGCCATTGTATAGTTTTGCATGTGTTTTTATTAACAACTATTCAATTTTAAGCCATCAATTGATAGACACAGAGCAACAGATCAACCTGAAATTTCTGGTCCAGTTGGCAGAAAACTGTCAGAAGCACTGACTACTGTAGAAAAATGTACAAAGATGTGACAATGTCATATTCTTGAGTTTTTCAAGTGGCAGATTAGGTTGAAAGAGGAAGACAACTTCAAGAGTGAAAGAGCCTTCAATGAGCAGAGGACTGAGGCTAGCATTGAGTGCGGCGGGAGACAGGTGGTGAGTAGCAATTGTCAGCTGACTATTCGACTGATCACAAGTGAGCTGGTCATGAAGCATGACAGCATCTGGAAGATTATTACCAAAGATTTGGGAATGTGAAAGATCTACTGAATGATAACCAGGAGCAGCAGTGCATGCAGGGGTGTCAGGACATCCTCAAGTATCTTGAAACTGGACCAGACTTGCTAGGGAGAGTCATTCACCAGTGATGAGTCATGGATCTTTGATCCTGAGATCAAATACAAAAGCCTTCAGTGGAAGAGTCGAGAGTCGTCGAGGCTAAAGAAAGCAAGACAGTCAAAGTCCACAAGTCAAACTCTTGTTGATTATGTTCTTCAATGTGAGAGGCATCATAGAGTGTTCTTGCCACACGGCCAGACAATCATCCAGCATGTCTACAAAGGCATTTGCTTCATTTAGTGTGAGAAGAGGTGAGAGTTATGGCAGGAAAACTTGTGTCTGCTTCACCACAACAACACGCAGACTTACGACCTGAGCATCTGGCAATTTCTTGTCAAATAGAACACTGCCCTTCTGGAACAACCTCCCTACTCACCCAACCTAGCACTGTGTAATTTTTTTTCCTTTTCCCTCCCAAGCTCAGTGGGGTTCCATCAAGGAAGGATCCATTTTCCAGACATGGAAGCCATCATTATATATAAAATAACAACAGAAGATACAAAAAGAGATATTCTTCATCAGCACAAGAATATTTTATGGCTAATAAATAACTAGTATTTATTGACAACTCTTAATACTTTTCCTTTTAGTAACAGCATTTTCAATAATAGTGAAACAGATCAGGAGAACAATGAGAGATTCACCCTCCACCCCCAAAAGATGATATTATAAATATTAATAAAAAAATAAATAAGTTTTAAATTAATTCAGCTAATTGAGAAAAGAAATTACATAATGAATTCAACGGCTCATTTGTTTTATGTAATTAATAAATTCACAACTAAAACTAATCAGAAACTTGCATTAATATTTATTTCAAAGTAGAAAAAAAAAAAGAAATAAAAAATTTAAACAATTTTTATAAAACCAAAATAAAACTTATGTGTTACTGCTTTTATACAAAAAAAATATTTAAAACTATAATTCAGTTTCCCATTCAAGTTATAGGTTATCAAACTACAAACCAATGGGTTAACAGCTTTCTGAAAGCTCAAAATGTTTGCTTTTTTCTTTTAATTTCATATAAATCTGGAAAAATCTCAACATCAAATTTTAAGCTGACAAACATTGCACTTTATAAGCAGTCATTCTTGTGCCATATAGGAGCAGCAAACAAGTTGTAGCAAAAAGGAAAAATCCTTTGCTTGATTACAAGAAAACAATTATGAAGATACAGGAGGCAAAAATGGCCATTTTCTGAAAGCACCAAGACACTTACTGCAAACTTTGATGGCTCATCATGGAGGCCATGAAACAGGGACTGAATGAAATGTTTACCTGAAGACAAAAGACAGGGAAATTAATCAAATATAAAAACAAAAATATCAGAAACAACAAATATTTCCAAGAACTAAAAACAAATCAGAAGTTTTTTGTCAAAAGTTCTCCGCAACTTAATTAAATGCCTCATTGTAATCAAGAAAAAAAAATTCTTAAACAGAAATAAAATACAGTCATGAAAAATAAAAGAAAAATTCTTCATTTCTTTGCTATTTCTAATTTGTCTAAAAACAAAAATTACAATATCCAGATGTCGAGTTTTTAAGTGAAGGATGAAATGATACCAGTTCAGATTTCAATATGATGACTAATTTTGTTAAATTTGCATTTATTTTTCTTTGAATTGATGATGTTTACCATTTCAGTGTTTGCTTTCATAAACACAACAACAGGAATAAATAGAAGTGTTGATATATAGATATATTGATTGATATTGTCATTACAGGTCAAGTAAAAATAATTGGACCAATGCAGACAAAGCTAAAAAGGTATATTATAGGTCACAGTGTAAATGTATCACTTTCAATAATACTTGGAAAGGTCACAACACCATGAGTACTAAGTGGAAAAAAACTTTTAGAAAATCCATCCACCACTAAAGGTTGATTACATCCAAAGAAATGGTGCTTACCAAACTTGGTATAAAATGCTTGTCTATCTCGAATTTCTTCCGAGTAAAGAGAATTGGATTCAATAGCTACAGTCTTGGCCCACTGAAATTGGAAAATAATTTTTTGAAAATGAAAAGAAAAAATACAGAGAAGAGGTGAATATAAACTCTGAGATTTTGAAGCAAAACAAATTATATGAAGTATTTCTCAGGATAAACTATTATAATATGCTAACCTTTGTGGGAATTAGAATATAGTTTTGAATTCAATTTTCCAATAAGTTTTTTTTAATGTAAAAATTAAAATAAATGGAAAATAAATGATAAATGAAGAGGTTAATCTGGTACAAGGCCACAATAATGAGGAACTCAGCCATCACAACACAAGTCCCATAACCCATTAGGATCATAAGGAAAACACAAACTTCAGCCATAGTGGCAGTGATATGTCTAGGATAAGTTAATAGAGCACATCCTTCTTCAGGTTGGTTTTGAATTCAGAGTTTTCCTTCTTCTAGATTGGTTACCACTTCATGGCAAGAGAGCTCAGTGTGTACTGCTATTAACACACAGCTGTGAAAAAAAAAAAAAAAAGATTCATACCTCTCCAAAGACATTTGTGTGAAAATGAATGCAAAGCTTCATCTGGAGTTTGAACTCAACATACCAATCCCACTCTCTGTGCCGATAACCATTACACTATGTGCCTATCCACTCAGCTGCCAATAGAAATATTGTCAGTTTCTACCATATCAGGGGCAGATAATTAAGCATCAACCTCACCAACAATGACTCTTGAAACTAACAATGTTATGAATTTAGATTTTTTTTTAAATTCTAATGGAAAGATTATTCTAAGTTATATCATACAAAAACAGATACAAACATATTTTTTATGTGATATACCCACATAAAAGAAAGGTCACATGATGGCTCACCCAGAAAGATTGCTGCAGGCATCAAGGTATGCACTCAACCCTATTTGCATTTGTACAAGAGAGCTGCTACTGCTGCTTTGGAGGAGGGGTGCAGGTCCCTTTGTAACAGGCTTCTGTTATTGTAAATTCACTTAGTCTTAAAAGCTACACATTTTTTTCTTTTTTTTGCAAATTAGTCATATTGTTTCTTTATACATTGTGGATGTTTGAGATATATTAGAAAATAGTCACAAGTACTAGATATTCAATGGATTTACTGTGCAAACATACTCAATGAGTCAATAGGCTATATCGATAGAGAAATTAATATTCAGAATGACTGAAAGTGTATGAAATAATCAGCAGGTATTAGACATATCTACTTAAATTTGACCTTTGGACACATTGACCATTATTTATTCTTAATTCTCTTTACTATAATGGCAAATTTGCTTACCGTGAGGAAAGGTATAGAATAATGTTTGCGCCTTATAATCTCTACCAGGGCATCAATGTACATTTTGGCTGCATCGTGCACTTGTTGTAAAATCTTCAGATGTTTGCGCTGTCTTTTGATCTTTTCAGACTCGATCTTAATGTTTCGCTCCTTCTCCATGATCAACTGTTCCACCCACATCACCCACCTGAAGACACACAGGTATACACAGGTTAAACAGACAAGATAAAAATAAAAAAAGACTGTTTAAAAATACATTGGATAAGATTTTATTGAAGTTCTCATTAACTCATTAATAAAAAAAAGATAAATAAAAAAATTTTAAAAGTCAAAAAGGGAGGTAAACTGATTTCATTGTGAACAAGTGATATGCTGTAGTGCTGCTGCCAATGGTTACTTTAAAGGATTTACCTGTAACATCAGTGTTAATACCTGATCTCAAATAAAGGGAAGGTGCTCTATTGATCATTAAATTTATTTAAATTTTCATAATTTTATAAAATCTGTATCATAAAATTATTACCAGTTTGATCATCATGTACAGTTGCCGATGGGTAATAAGAATGGTTTTCATATTATTAATTACCATAGAGGTAAAGAGGATGGAAAATCTATTGTGGGTTTCTGTAGTGACACTGGGAAATTAATATGCCTAATTTGCATAAGTGCAAGAGAAAGCCTATACAACTCATCACTGAGAATAACGTGGTATGAAGACAAGCTTAGCGACTGACTAGTGCTAAACTTGGACTTCACGTCAATGGCGTCGCTGATAGGATCACATTTGTCTCTAAAAGATTCAGAGGTTGTGGATGCATGGATTCGCTGTTTTTCTGCCAGTGCGAGAAGTAAAAAGCTGAAAGACAACAAGGAGAAGGGAGGCGAAAATGAAATTACGGATTTATTTTTGGCTACAGCTGGATGCGAGGCGATAATGAAAGTCTCCACCATGGCATATCCCACAAATTTGGAAGACCTGACTTTCGAAAAAATAAGTCAGATTATAAGAAGAAATATGAGACCCAAGAAAAGGCTGGTAGTGGCAGAAAGAACAAAATTCATGTCGATGAAACAAGAAATTGACGAACCAATTATAAAATATCTACACCGTCTATGAAATGTGAGTAGATATTGCGAATTGGAAAAACTTGGACAAGACAAACAGACTATTGAAGAGGACTTGATTCAATTAAGATTAATTGAAGGTATGTGCAATGCATCACACTGATATAAAATAATGAAACAACTACAAATAGGAAATATGTCTTTAAATACATGCATTAACTTTATACAGCAACAAGAATTAATACAGAAATACAACCATCATAAAAGTCAACCCAGTGAACAAATATTCACTGATATGTACATGTTAAAAAAGATAAGAAAATGTTCGTATTGTGGATGTGAACATGAAATAAAAAGGGAAAAATGCCCAGCATTTGCAAAAACCTGTACAAATTGCTTAAAAAAGAACCACTTTCAAGCAGTATGCAAATTCAAAAAGAAAAACGTTGAAAGAGTTGAAGAAAACGAAACCAATATGGAAGTCTTCACATTAAAAAATAAGAATATAGAAAAAATTGAACAAAAGAAAAAAGACATTATACTAAAGGTTAAAATTAACAACTGCAATTTAGATATGCAAATTGATACTGGGAGTGAAATAACGCTGATACAAAAAAATTTTTGGGAATGCATTAGAAAGCCACCTTTACGAAAGAGCAGTTTACAACTCTGCCAATTTGATGGGTCAGTTATAAAAACTTTAGGATACTTTGAAGGTTCCTTGGAGTTAGAAGATAAATTTGAAGTAATACCTATAATTGTCACAAGTTGTAAAAAGAACCACGGACTTCTTGAAAATGACGTGCTTAACATAAATTCTACCAAATTAATTAATGAGATAAAAATGGAAAAAAACGGAAAGTTAAAAAACTATAAAGCAAGTTTAAAATTAAAAGAAAATGTCTCCCCCTCTTATTATGAGGCACGAAAATTACCAGTACATTTGTTGCCATTAGTAGTAACAAAACTATGAAAGTTAATAGAACAAGACCTTCTTGAACATGTTCCCCCTGGGGGTAGCAAGTGGGCATCACCCATTGTAGTTTTGAGGAAGACAGATGGTGACTTACGTATTTGTGGAGATTACAAAATAGGCATAAATCACAAAGTTTGTTTGGATTCATATCCAATTCCGAATGTTAAAGTTGCATTACACGCATTGGCAGGAATGAGTGTTTTTACAAAAATAGATTTAAAAATGGCATACCACCAAATACCAATAGACGATAACTTCAAAGATGTAACCACGATAAATACACCAATAGGGTTACTAAAATGGAAAAGAATGCCATACGGAATAAAAACCGCAAGCGCCATATTTCAAAGGGCCATCGAACTGGTTTTAGAAAATATGGAAAATATGATTTGTTACCAAGACGATATATGCATAGGAGCTACTAATGAAAATGAATTAAAAAAGAAAACCGACATAATCTTGAATAGATTAAGAAATGCTGGAATGACAATAAATGAGAAAAAATGTGTAAGCAATTGTAGTAAAATATCTTTTTTAGGTTATTCCATTTCAAAAGAAGGTATATCACCAGACCAAGCATTGATAGAAAAAATACTAAAAGTAGCTACACCTACAAATAAAAAAGAACTGGAGTCTTTTTTGGGATTGGTGAATTTTTACAGGCAATATTTACCAAAATACACGGACTTGACTGAACCATTTGCAAATTTAAGAAATTTATTTGGTCAGAAGAACAACAAAAAGCTTTTGATAGATTAAAAGTAATTATGGCAAAGAAACCAGTAGTGAAAATGTTTGATCCAAAAAAGGACATTACGTTAACCACAGATGCAAGCGAACATTCGATATCGGGAATATTATCACAAGAAGGACATCCGATAATGTATTTATCAAGAAGACTAACGAACACCGAATTTAATTATTCAAATACAGAGAAAGAAGCATTGGCTATTGTGTAGACAACTACTAGAGCCTGACAATTTTTAATTGGGAAAAAAATTTCTGTTAAGAATTGATCATAGACCATTAGAGTTTATATTTAACCCAAGGAAAGAATTACCCAAAGTCACAACATTGAAGATACTAAGATGGGCAATAAGATTAATGGCATTTGACTTTGATATAGAATATATCAAAGGAAATTCAATTCCACACATAGATACACTATCAAGATTGCGATTTTACAAGGAGTCAAGATAAAACAGAAAAAGAATTTGAAGATGCATTCTTACATTGGGTAGAGACTGATGTCTTGTCTTTAGATAGAATGGCTGTGGAAACTAGACATGATCCAGTACTAAGTAGGATAATATCAAGAATAAGAAAAAACTCATGGGGAAATTGTTCTAGGGCGGAAAGACCCTACAAAGAAATAAGACAGAAATTAACAACAGAACATGGAGTGATTTGTAATGGGGATTTGGTAGTGCCCCCAGAAACACAAAGAAAGTTGGTAATAAAAAGTGTACATGATGATATACCCTGTGGAGTAGCGGCCACACAAAAAAGGATAAAATTAGAAGCATGGTGGCCGGGATATCCAAGAGATGTTGAAGAATATATAAAAAGGTGCAAAAAATGTAAAGAATTAAGAAACTTTACACAGACTACTTTACATTCGTGGCCCAGAGAAGTGGAACCATGGAGTCGGGTGCATATGGATCATGCATATATTACTGGAGTGGGACTCTTTATTAATTCTAGTAGACTCTTTTTCAGAATGGCCTGAAATAATCCGGGTGCCAGACAAGAAAAGTTCTACGATAAAACAGATTCTAAGGGTGATATTTTCCAGAAACAGCATACCAAAAACCCTGGTATCTGACAATGCACCAGAATTTTGTAATGAAGATCTTAATTTATGGTTAGAAAAAATTGGATGTAAACCGTATAAGACACCCCCATATCACCCTCAGTCGAACGGGTTAGCGGAAAGAATGGTGCAGACTGTAAAAACAGGACTAAAAGTATGTTCTCAGCAAAAAGAAAGAGTAGAAATTTTTCTACCTAGGCTGCTTTTAAGCTATCGCACAATACCACACGCTGGAAGACTAAAAAGCCCATCAGCTTTAATGGGAAGGCAAATTAGAGCTCTGCTAACGATGTCGTATTCCACAAATGAAAAAATGTGGTACAAAAAGAACAAAGAAGCAAATCCAGAAAGGGCAGAATTTATCATGCAAAAAGGCCACAATGCAGCTATAATAAATAGAGAAAACGGCAACAGTGTATTAGCCCATGCAGATCAAATAAGGACCCAGGGTGAATATGAAGAGCAAAATGAAGAAGAAATGTCTACAATTCCATCCATTAATGATTTATTAGAACAACCGTTACAGAATGAAACATCAGAAGACGAAATAATGCAGGATCAAGTGGGCCAGAATGAGTTTGAAAGTTCAGACAAAGATCAAATAATGCAAGAAGATGCCTATGATTACAGCTTAGCGCGGGACAGATCTAGGTCTCCCAGAAAAAGAAATACAGGAGAGAGAGAAGTAGAGCAAAGTAATGAAACTATCACGAGAAGAAGTACAAGAACTACTAAAGGTATAAAACCTATATGTTTCAGGGAGATGTAGTGACACTGGCAAATTAATATGCCTAATTTGCATAAGTGCAAGAGAAAGCCTATATAACTCGTCACTGAGAATAACGTGGGACGAAGACAAGCTTAGCAACTGACTAGTGCTAAACTTCGACTTCACATCAGTTTCAAACATTATAAAAAAAAAAAAAAAAAAAATAGGATATCTGTCTTTATCAAATCAACACCACTTTTAAATTTCAGTTGCATTAGTCACCTTAGACTTAAATTGATCTCTTCCTTGTATTTTGTGAGTATGATCTTACAACACTGGTTTCGATGGAAGGATTATTAAAAAAAAAAAAAAAAAAAAAATCAAGTATCTCTAAATCTTAGATTATTTAAACAACCAACATATCATTGTATAATAAATGATTTAACTCATATTTCAAAAATGAAATCTAATTCTGTAATCAAGAGAAATACTTCTTATCTAACAGTTGCTCAAAAGACCATCACTGATCCATTACTACACAAAGAGGAGAAGGCACAAAAAAAAGTACTATGAACATATGGACAAGCAAGGTGTGGCTGAAAGAGGTGCACCAGTAAAATGAATGACTGCAACCACAAGAGAATGGTCAAAAGCCTATTTGATACTTTGGATGAGATCTATAAAAAATGGACAGAAGCTATAGTGTGCAAAAGGTTAGCATGCCCAGACAGAATCTGAAGATTGATACATTAGCCAAGTATCAAGAATCAAGTCTTGTTGTTAATAGCTGATAGCAAAAGCAGAAATGGAATCTTGTTCAGTCATCCAAAGTGTTGTTTTCTGATGAGAATTTTTTTTTTATTTCATTGTATAAAAAAGGTTTGTTTAGAGAAATAAAGAGACACCCAGTGATAGAGTTGCCATGATATCTGCAATTGTAGGGGTACTGTGATTTCTTAGAGCCACAATCAATACAGCAGTAGTTTGTAGTGCAACTATACTGAGCAGATTTTAGTTACAGTTTCTGAGAGAGAGAGAGAGAGAGAGAGAGAGAGGACATGTCATGATTAACAGTTTGAACAAAGCCAGTACATTCAAACACAATGACTTTTGACTTCATCCACCCAATTTCTCTCACAAGACTTAGGCTAACTTCCCAACAGTGCTGCATGCTGGAATGACAAATAGACCAGGGTGAGATTCAAACCAGGCTCTCATGGTCAAAATGCTAACACTCGGCTATATGCTTACTTGGTCCAACCAAGTAGTGATGGATATTCCAAGCTATCTTTCAATTTATGGCCAACATGATCTTTTCTAATGATAATGTTCAGTTGTCCAAATATTCTAATATTTTAGTTGGTCAATTTCTAGTCTATCTTCCATGAAAGGTACAGTGTTGATGGATTACGTCAATAAAGTACTAATCAATAGATCAATTTTACTCTAATGAGATTAATACAATTGAAATGTCAAAATTTAGATTAGCCTAAATTTCAACTAGTATACAACATAGAAATATCACACTGCATATAATGGGTGACTGGCAAGTGGGAATTTCACAAGATCTATCACACATTCATCCAGTTTTGGAACATTAGAAAACAATTACAGCAGAAGAAACAAATCCAAGTGAGCTTTTGTATGATTGAAAACAAATTTAATACTAGGTTTACTTATAAAGCAAAAGAGCTGCTAGTCATTAGAGATCTTCTGGAACAATATCAAAGTTCAAAGTCTTATTGTGAAAATCAGCTAGTGTCTGTTATTGTTGCCTTAAAATGGGAAATTTATTAAGACTCCCAGAAATCTTTGACCTCAGAAATTTGGAGGATACTTTTTGACAAATACCAGTGCAACAATAACCCCTATTTTGACCAGTCTAAGCCAGCACACTTTTTGGGATCCCCCTTCTGCAATTGCAATCTTTAAATTTTTCAAGTTATAGATTTTTTTATAGATTCAAATTCTCAACAATTCACAATGGACTTCTCTCTATATACAGTGTTACTATCAATTGCTAGAATCTTAATGCTGCTTGACAAAAAAAAAAAAAAAAAAAAAAAAAAATGATTTTGTTTTGCTGTATACTACAGGCAAAAAAATTTAGGATACCCTGCATTTCTCTTAAAAAAATACCTTAAAATGAGATATTTTTGTATTTCTTTTTTTCTTTTAAGTAAAAGATAAAATTTCAGTAACTACAGTATATTTACCTTTATTGCTCAGTCTTTCTCCAGGCTCCTCTTACTACCAAAAAAATTAGATTCATCTGTCCACAATACACTTTGCTAAATCATGAATATTTTGTATGAGAAACATTTTGTTTTCACCATTGACCTTTCAGTAGAATTTTTAACATTACCAAAAGGGCTCGAAATTTGATTAAAGTCAAGAGAATCATGAAAAAGAAAAAAAATCCATATCATTTGATTTTGCAAAGACTTGATATACCATCTGCTTTACATATAATTGGAAAAATTTCATCTTTCAACAAGATAACAATCCAATACACTCTTCCAAATTATGTCAAAATTACCTAGTCAGGAAAAAAAAAAAAAAAAAAAATGGAACAAAATTTTGGAAATTATGACTTTCTGACCTCTCTCCCATTGAATTAGTCTGGGATGAATTGGATTGGGCATTCACTTCAACTCTAAGAGTGAGCGTGAGTTTTTTTTCATGCTTTAAGAATGCTTGGAAAGGTTTTTCAAAAACTTGCTTGGAATGAATGCCAAGAATTTGTAAAGCAGTAATTAATTCAGGTAGTGGTTTTATTGATGAAAACAAAATATGATGCTGTTGTATGGTAATGTTTTATTTTTGTGCTTATTTTTACCAAAATAAAAGCAAATACACTGCAGTTACTGAAATACTATCTTTTACTTTAAAAAAAGAAAAAAAAAAAAGGGAATATGGAAGTCTCTCATTTTAAAGTGTTTTTTTTTTTTTTTAATGAAATGCAGGGTGGCCTCAAAGGTTTTGCCTGTAGTGTATACACAATGAAAAATTTAAGAAACACAATCTCTTTACAAAAGGAATGTGCAAGATGCAACATACTCAGTGTTAGGTGCAAACTCTAAAATGGAAACAATCAAACTTATTTAACGTGAGAGATACTTATCTCAAGTAGTTTCATTTGGTGTAAAAAAAATAAAAAACTTGCTGCTCATTTCAATTTATAATAAAAAAATTATACTTTTTTTCATTGATATAAACATGCAAACATTATTTTATATTTGTTCAGTACATTTGTAAATCTATTTGGTTATTTTAAATTTCATCATTTTTGCTTAAGTAAAGATAACTGGTATATTTCAATCAAAATGAATGAATTTTATCGACACATCATTTTAACATATACAAAAAATATAAGTCTAAAGCTAATAAAAAAGAAAAAAAAAAATTCAATATTTTTACTGCTCTCAAAGTTTAAACTTATCTTGAAGCTTACAAGGAGAAATGTCCTTTAAAAACTAGACTCTTTATTTCATTCTTTTATTTATTTTTTTATTATAAAAGCAGAAATTACATTATTTGATCCTAAACCTTACTGAAAATGACCTATCCTTGAAGATATAGTTAAGCATAAAAAGAAGCAATTCAAACTGGGTTTTTTTTTTAATTTAAAATTTACAAACAAACTTTACAGTTATCAGTTACTGTATGTAATTTGAGCAAAAAGAAAAGAAAAAAACTCATTTTACTTACTTCAATCTTACGTGCAAATTATTACTCAGCTCCTCTTTCGCTTTACAGCAGCGGTTTTTGAAAATTTTAATCTGTGTATGACCATCTGAGAGTTCCATGAGATCTTTCTTGTGGTTCTTCCAATATTCAGATAAAGATTCACAGTCCATGCGTGTAGTTGTCTCCAACTGACTTGTAAATTTCTTAAAAGGTGAAAACAATTAATCAAATATTAAAAACACAAATAGTTTTAAACATTGAGAAAAAAATTTGAAAGTTCTTCACTTGAACAAAAAAGAATTTAAAAAAAGAATTTAAAAAAAAAAAAAAAACAAACTGGTGCTTGGCTTTTGGAAAGTGGGTTAGCCAAGAACTTTTCATCACCTCCAAGCAGAAGATTACAATGGGGGGGTTGCTGAACCAGAAATAAACTTTTAAAAATCCCTGATTCTATATTTTCTATCTGATGCTCTCATGAAATTAACTTTTTTTTTTTTTTTTTTAGATATATGATGCAACTGTAAACATTTGTTTTGATTTTAAATACACAATTTTTGTGCTTTTCTTGCTTCTACTTATTTTCTAGAATGCAACCTATAGACTCTTTTTTGTATAAGACATATAAAAAGTTTTAGATACTAATCTATATTAGCTTCTAAAACTTTTTATATAAAGGAGAAATAAATGTGCAAAAAATAAATTTAGAAAATGATTTATTTTGAAAAAATTATGATAATGAACTTAGATAAAACTCAGCTCAATTGCACTGTCATAGATTGAAGCCAATATGACTAATTTAGTCTTTGGTTTAGTTTCAGAAAGAGTAGAGAGGGGACTGAAGCCCTCCACCAACCCTGCCATAGCACTGTGAATGCTTTTGATTGATTTGTTTTCTATGGCTTATCAACCTTTTGCAGGTTATTTAATGCCAGGAAATATTTTTACAAGAATTTTTTTTTTTTTTTTTTTAGATAATAGGTTTAGTGATACAAGTTTTACTAATTAACCCATATCAGGGAGGAGAAGAGGTGGATTCATACCAATGACCATTTGAATGCTTTTGTTTCTAGCATTATGAATTGGACACACAAATTTTAAAATAATTATTTTCATATTAATTTTATTTTTCAATTTTGTAGACAAAAGTAAATAAAAAAAAAATTAAAAATACACACAATAATTTGCAAAGAGCCAAACACTCACTTGAAAAAATTTGGTCTGTTTATCCATGATTGCACGCGTATTGGTGATGAGTTGGTCAAGCTGATAGAGACGGTGTTCCAGACCCTTAACTTCTTTCATATCCGGACGGTCAACAAATTTCAACAAATCATTGATTTCAGTCTTGAGCTTTTCTATGCTTTTTTCACTAATCTACAAATATTAAAAGAAACAAAATAAAATCACTTTGTTTACAACAAGGTGTACAAAATTCATAGTTTCAAATGGAAATAAACAAAAAATAAAAACTTCCAATGACATAACATCAGCCTGAGAGTTATTGATAAAAGGAGAATTTGGTCTGTGAGTAAATCTCTCAACATGAACAATTCTGACCATCAGATTACATTTTGCTAAAGTCTATTAATAATCACCTCTTAGCAAAGAGTTACAATCTTAGATATTTGGGGAATTCTTCTAAAATTCTAGTTATCACTGATGAAAAAAGTTCATGTGTATATTTCAAAATATGGAAATTAATTTTCTAAATGGACAATGCAAAAGAAAAAATAAATTAAATTTAATTTTTCTAAACTTTAAAAGTAAATTTTTTTAAAATTTTTATTAATAATCTTTTGGATATATGGAAAAATTTTATTTGCAAGTCTGTTTTGTTAAAATAAAATATAATAAAAATTCAAAGTTAATTTTTTTTTCCTTATTGCCACTTTATATTATTTATCACTAAGCAATCTGAAAAGAGAAAAATATCAGTAACCTGTTCAGAAATAAGTTTACACTGATCCACCATATCTTCCAAGCTACTGCGTGGGTCCTGAAATGAAAAGACAAAAAAAATGATACTTATTCAATAAGTGGAGAAAGAAAATCAACAATAAACGACTTCAGAAGGACAAACCATGGAATTACATTCATAAAGTTTTCAAAAATAAAATTATATATTTATAAAAAATATAGCATAGATCATTAACACCTAACAAAACATGTCAGCCAATAAAAATTGCTGGAGTTTAACATGTTTAAAAGTAAGCAGATTTCTGTAAAGAAAGTGCTCAATATTAAAAAAAATATATATCAAACAATAGTTCATAGATAAATTAAAATGTCAAGTTATCTTCCAATTTCAAGTCTCAGGTTAAGATAAAGCTATTGAATTCATTGGTAAAAGCCAGGAGTTTTCTTGGGATTGATAGTGGAGTGGTTTCCCCGTTGGCTTCTCCATACTGATGTTATTGAGGCTTCACCTCTAGTTAGCTGACTGTTGACTCATCAAAATATCTTCCACCCACTGATGAGTCTTATTTTTCAACCTACAGGGCTGTTAATAATGATCAAACAAGTCCAACAATTTAAATATCTAGTAAGTGTTTTCACAGAGGACAGAAAGTGTGAAACTGATACCTGAAAGTGCATTAGGATAGCGAAAAAGGCCTTCCAAAAGCTAAGAAACAGGAAAATTATGTTAGAAACAAAGATAAGAGTACTGAAGTGTTATGTAATATCAGTATCCTATATGGTAGTGTTACGAATGCAGATAGCCCAAACACGCATACACGCATATATTAAGGTTAATCTCTACTTGACAACAGAAGAGGTCACGTGGGAGTCTCGAGTCATTTTGGGGAAGCAGGTCAAGAGGTTGACTGACCCAGTTGCCCGTAGCAACAGACGTCTAGACAGGGGACTGACGTAAGGTCGTGAAGCAGCAGGAACTGGAATTCACGCCAAAATACAGGACACGTGGGAATTAGAAAATTACTTGGAAGTCAGTTGGTGTCTTGTCTTTGAAGGAACAAGACTCGAAATCGAAGTGCTGATAACTTGTGAATGGAAAGATGAGACTCATTTTAGTAATGTTAGAACTTGTCTGATTCATCATCAGCAACTCCGGATAAGAAATATAAGGATGTATATTTCTGTTCGTCAACTCCAGATTGAAGAAGATAAATCGAGTTATTTATCACAGAAGACGCAAGGAAATTTGCACGCTGAAAATACAGCCCGTGTTTGAAAGAAAGAAAAGAGAAATCAAGAGAGAAGAAGAAAGTATATATCTCTGTTGCAGCCAGACCGTGTTTGAAGCTGAACTGTGTAAAGAAGAAGAAAGAAAGAAAGAAAGAAAAAGAGAAAACAAGAGAGAAGAAGAAAGTATATATCTCTGCTGCAGCCGGGCCGTGTTTGAAATTGAATTTGTGTAAAAGAAAAGAGGAAACGTGAGAGAGAAAAGAAAGGACAATGAGTAAGAGAGAGAACTGAATATAAAGATAAGTAAATATATATTTTGGACCTGTGTTAGAAAGATACACATGCATCCATAAATTTTATGTTCTCACAAACACCTTTCCACATGTCAAAATAGTAATATATAAATCCTATCCCATCTCTTTTTTTTTTTTTTGGTTATGCGTTGATTTCTGCATTCGTAGTTATTCATACTTATTTATTTTTTTTCGTTCAGGTTCAGTCGAATCCACTTGGATTTGGGCATATTTTGGTATCCCAACATAAGTCTTGAGGTTCTGGTCGTCGGATGCTTTACTTATGCTTATATTTTTCTTTTATTGTAATATCTTGTGTATATGTATATATTAAAATTCTTATACCAAATTTTATTACGCCTCATCGCTCATCCTTGAATTGTGGATCGGTATATGTGTTGAAACCGAAGCAAACCTGGGAAAAGACTACTGTTTGATTATCTCAATCGAACAGTGTTCTTTAAAATATTTTGTTTACTAAATGTCCATTTATCATGATCTGGGAGAGATAGCCCATATCTCTCCATAGACGTGATAACGTATATATCTCCTGGTCGGCATATGATTGCGTTATAAATTATTCGTCGAGTAGGGCATATGACAGTAGTGAATGCTGGACAATATCCTCACAGATAAAGATGAGATTTGAAGAAACAGAAATATGTATCTCTACAAAAGGATGCTGAGAATAACACAAACCAAACATGTGACCAACAACAAAGTTTTTGAAGAAATAGAAACAAAAAAAAGACTCATACTTAACATCAGGAAGAGAGCTGAAATTTCTAGGGCACAAAATGAGGAAATCAAGTTTGGAAAATTTGATACTCACAGGACAGATTGAAGGCAAGAGGGGCAGGGGAAAACAACACATAACCTATTTAGTGAGCTTGAGGAAATGGATGGCCAAATAAGGTTTAGGAGAGATTATAAAAAGACAAAATTTATTAAGAGTTACAAAGAATAGAAAATTGTGGAGAGTCATGATTGCCCACATCCTGAAGTGGGTATTTGGACACAGTATGGTAGACTTATAAATATGTAATTTTTCTTGCCAGAATCTATCTTGACACAGTAAACCACCTATCCTAGGTGAAGACTTAGCAAATGATTCGATATACTCTATTTCATGTCAGTTGAAAACATTAGTCACAGAAGGTGCAATGAGACACTATCCTGGAGGTAAAAAGGGTTTTCTATTTTAAAAAAAATAAAATAAAAAAATGAGTACTTCTAATTTGGAAGATGTTTTCCTTCAATAAACAAGAGATCAGTTTATTTTGTCTAAATATTTATTTCAGCTTAAAAAAAAGAAAAAAATGATTTGTTCAATTTGGATACCAACTTCTAATCACTTATAAATATTTTTATCCAATGAAAGGATTTCAAAGAAGTCAAAGCAGCACTAGAATCTTCTTACAAACAACTACAAGATACTGGGATGCTGGAAAAAGCATTGCAAATGATCTGACATTATGAAATAATTTACCCCTGTTGTAGTAGATTCTATGGCAACTGTAGTCTATATTCAAACAAGGGTGCAAGTTTAATCTTCCTTTGTTCTCACTCTAAATTTAGCCTTATGTCAAAATAATCTAATCTTAATGATTCATCATAATCTACATTTCTTTAACTACAAGTGAACAGAATTCAATTCATAAATGCAAAAGAGTCAAAAGTGTAAAAAAAAAAAAAAAGTCTTAAAGATTATATGTAAAATGATATTTGATAGAAGGAAATATTATGCAATTACCTGTTGATAGATCCAGTCCAATAGTGAAGCTTCCTTGGTTCTTTCTTCACCCTCAAGAAGGGTTGGATCTACCGGGTTGCTCTCAACTACAGGACTTGTCACTAACGTCTGAAGACTCTTTAACAGTGGAATACGGCCTAAAAGATTTAGGATTTCAGGGACTCTGAAATAAATAGAAAAACAATTTAAAACCATTTTTCATTTTTTTTTTTTAGTTAGTATTTTTTTCATTTTATTTAATTCATTTTCTTTTTTGGTAGAATTAGGTTCCAAAAACTCAACTCAAATCTAAATTTTTCTTTTAATCAGTTGAAAACTGCAATCTCATAAAATTAACGGCAGTGATATTAACTATATTCTCTATATCTTCCTTGGTCAGTTTAAACTTATGCTTTTTCCATATATCTAAGCTATATAAACTTTGATAAAATACAGTTTTAAGGTATGTTATATTTATAGTTAAAAGTGCTCAATACCTGGGATAGAGCTTGTGTAAATGTGAGTGAATACTGAGGTCAACACAGAGTGGTGACAGCCTGCTTCCTGCTTGAATGTAATCTTCAAGCCATGTAGCCTGACTATATATGTTAGTCATTGAGATATTATGGGTAGCAAGATCAGTTATTTCCAGTTTATTATGTTATTCTAACAGCTATTGGATAGGACTAAACGGTTATTTTAAATTATTCTAGCAGTGATTATTGGATACAAATAATTATGGGCCAGAACGTGATTATTTTACAGCTATTATATAGAGTTTGTTTATTAACTTTTAACTTATTATTAATTACTTTAGAGTGTTTTGTATTTATTCATTATTTGCTACTGATTATTATTAAATTTACTTAGTTGTGGTTATGTGTGCATACATAAAGTTTATTATTTATTTACTTATTTTATTTCATTATTTTTTAAAAGGGAAAGGTGTAGTTACCTCATTTGTTTAAGGTATTAGCTTTGTTTAAAGTATATTATCTGCATTGTATATAATGCATATATTTGCATTTTTCTTGGTGAGGTTTTGTAAGATATTCAGTTGTTAGTTTTCAATTTTTAATTAACACAGTAAAATTTGTTTTTATGTCTGCATTTTGAGATAAGTTCTGGTCTTTTATTTAGTAATTTATGTTGGTATGAAAAGGTGATTATAGTTATTTTCTCCTCCAAACAATGTTCACAGTTTTTAGAGTTATTGTAAGCTGGTGCAGTTTTACTTTTCATGATATTTTTGTATATTTGGGTTTTTAAGTTTCCATATATGTTTTGAAAGAGTTGTGCTGTTTATGCATTTACTATTATTAAAAAGATTTTTGTGCATAGTTTTTTTTTTCATTGTTATCTGCCATTTTTACAGTGGTTTCGTATATTATATTGCATTGCAGACAATGACTGTTTAAAGAAAATTCATGCCTTGCTCTGCAGTTACAGGTGTGAGTGTGGGAGATTTGTTGGATATTTTTTTAATGTCATGTTCTCAGTGCAACTGTAGCTGATTTTAATGTGTTTCTGTTAAATATCCTGTCGAGAGGGCTTGATAAAGGGGGAGTGTTTGCACATGAGTTTAATGAATATTTTTTCTACATTTGTCTTTATGTTTTGTGGTATAGTGGATTAAACCATATGTTTATTTTACTGTTGGCATTTCTTGTACTTTGTGTTATGCGTATGAAAGTTATTCTGAAAAACAACTATCTTTTAGAATTGTTTCAAAATTATAATCTATTATTTTAGAATGTGAAAATTTCACTAAAATATTGGAAAATTTCCAAATTTTCATCTGAAATCAAAATACATGCTTTGAATAAAATAGTCACAAGATAAAGAAACAGTTTTTGAGATATTTATTCTCAACAACACAGAAACTGAAGTATTAATGATAAATTTAAAATAGTGACAAATTTAGCCTGACAAAGTAAAATTTTAATGAAAAGTCATGTTGGAATTTTTTTAAATGAAGAATTATCATTGTTATATGTTGTCTTATACAGAAAAGCATGTTCATTTTGGTGGTTACACTTTGGCTGTTGTACCCTCTTAACCATTATTATTATTAGATGTGTGCCTCCCTTCAGATTTGATAACTTTCTGGAAATTTTAACCCAAAACTTTTATTCAATCCATGAGTATTAGATTGTTCTCACTTCACTTTCCATGCTGAAGGAATATTTCATATCACTTAATAGTCGGTGTTATTCACATTTTCATTGAGTGACTACTTCTTCCAATGAACTAGAGTGTGATATCTCATTACAAGACCCAGTGATTGAAATCAGGACCAGATATATTTTCACCAATACTTTAATTCACGAGGTCATGTGTCTCCTGAATAAGGTAAGAAACAGTCAAAACATTGTGAGTATAACAACCGAGATGAGCAGGCTCGTTCAAATAAGGCATAATAATTTTCATCAGAACTTGAAATTTTATTTTTTCAGCTAATGTATGCAATAATTGTTTTTAATTAACTATATATATATATATACACACACACACACAAATAAAAAATATTAAAATTTTCAGACACATTGGGTTGTATATTAATATTTTTTGTTTTATTATTTCAATTAAGTTCCTCGACTAGTTTTGGCCAGCATGGCTATCATCTGGAGAAAAAAAATTCCTGCATGTTAGTAGCAGTGAACTACAAGTGTGAATATATAATAATAATGGACTCTCCCATTGGTTTTGACTTATGAGGATCTGACAGCTTAGTTGATTCAGTTATGAAATTTTGTGTGATAATCTTAAGTGGCACTTAAAACCCGCTAGTGATTTACAAAGGATGCCACATATGGAGCAAGAGTGAGGACGGTGAGATGAGATCACTGTTAGATTGGCTGACCTTTTAGATCTTGTTCTAGCTTCTTGAAGAGGATTCAGACAAGCAGATTGAAAACTGCTGAGTCCACTAAAAACACGTTGATCTCCATTCTACCCGCTCCAAGGCTGAGTGCTCAAGGGTGTTATGTGGTATACTGACTGATGACAATTTGTTTTTCAGCTTGTCTTTGTATCTTAGCCATGGGTGTCCTAAATTCCAATATATATATATATTTTCTATTGTGTGTGTAACAATTGAGGGGCAGGGTGCTAAATTTTTTAAGTATATAAAACTCAAAGTCCAACCCCAAACATGAGACGCAAAGTCACCAAAGTCAACATCACTCTGCTTATATTAAAGAACCCCATTTACATCCACATGCATAATTCAACAGCACTGAAAAACTACTGCACCAAACTACAGCGACACAGTTCACAGTAAGAATTAAATTCTATCTCATGTATCCCCCATCACTACTAAGCATGCACACATATACTGACTCTTTCAAACAAACACAGATAACATTTCATTGTTTCTCACATACATAAATTATTTATATTTATATAATTGTTTATAATTGTTGATACTATGTTGTTTTTTATCTACTGGATTTTATTCTTTCAATGAATTTCATGGGGATTATTCTAAAGGGGCAAATTACGAGCAGTCCCACAAAAATATTTGTTATTGTATTGAATCCTGACACTGAATTTTGACATTTAACAAAAACCTGAATAGAAGGATGCTTAGAAATTTTCAAAAAAAAAAAAAAATCAGGCTCACTATAGTTTTTGCAATTTAGATGAAAATTAATCCATCTTTATATACTTTAAAATATGGATATCTTTCCTCAGGTGATTATAAATTGTACACTGTTCAGTTATTAAATGTTAAACTATTTTAAATTACGAAATTGTACTTGGATTAAACAAAAATTACCACATTTTCCAGCTTACAAGACACACATTTTTTCCTAAATAATACCCTGAAAAATATGTGCATCTTTCAAAAGACAAATGTAAGTCAATACCCAGGCTCAAGTAATCTTGGATGGTCACCTAATTGGCTTGACTGGTAGGGATGTGAATTTGTATGTTGAGTCATTACACTATAATGTTAGCTATCTAATTCAGCCTTTTATATGATGTAACCTCAGTACTTAGCTGTTACAAGTATTTCCAAGACTATAAACCTTCCTGGAGCCAAGCCACAAGCTGAAACATGCTCTGTTTACTAGCAGCAGTGGGAGCCTTTCTGCTTTTGACTAGTATGTCATTGCCATACAAACAAAATCAGACGAGTAATTAATGTAAACAATACGTGGCACCAGTATGTGAGGGACGTATGGTGAATGTGTTATTGTAGGAGAATGACTTTTTTTTTTTTTTTTTTTTTTTTTTTTTTAGAAATTTCTTTCCAATATTAGGGTGCATCTTCCAAGCTGGAAAATACAGTACTTACAATATAATACATATTATTTATAATTACATTCCTTCTTGCCGTCAATTTTGATGGCATGGGTACACTAGTTATAATTAAAAATGTTATGGCCTTATCACCCGAGTTGGTTTGCTTTCATTTAAAAAGAAAAAGTTCCTGGTAATTAAGTCAACTCAAATTCAAATGTGTTCATCCAACATCCAATTGTTCTTTTAATTTTTTATTGTTACCACTCACTTGGACAGCATTTCCCGAGATTCCTCTTGGGTCTTCAGAAATATTTTACAAGTGTTTTGGAATTTCTCTACTCTTCTGTTGAAAGACCTACAAAATATTTCAAAATGAAAAGCAAATGAAATAATGACATTCAAATAAATAGGCAAATTTCATTTCTTTAACAAATAATAAAACCTCTTAAAGTTCTGAACAATTTAATCTAATATACAAATCAAATTTAAAAATTATAAGGAATAAAATCTTTCGTAAAACTAAGATATTAAATGGTAAAAAGATATAGTCTATAGAACATTACAGAGAAACTTTAATCAAGTATGATGAATTTAGAGATAAAGGAAAAATATTGCTGCATATTATCTTCTATATTACAGTTGATAGGTAACAAATTTATTGAAAGGCATTTTCTAAAAAGGGTCTTTTTTATTGAATACTTCAAATTAAACTGACATATTCCACTGTCAATTATTTTCAAGGATTAATTCCTAATAATTTCAACAAAAAATAAATTATAAAAAAATAAACTGAGAGAACAAGATGATTCATGATAATTACAGAGGGGGTGAGAGCAGAAAAAAAAACATGGGTAGAGAGAGAGAGAGAGGGTAGAGGGAATAAATAGAGTGACAGTACAATGCTAAGGACTGAGCAACAGTAAAGGGTGTTCCAATAACCTGGACAGATTTTAAATGTGATTTTTTTCTTTTAGATTTGTCGATATTATTTTTCACACATAATTGCCATGACTTAAATAACATGATCCAATAGAGAAATAAATAAATTTTCACCAATAACACTGAGTTATTTATTGCTGACTTTGATGCATCTTAATGAAATACCCTTATATATAATCTGTCTTAATGAAACACTTTATTTACCAAATTATATATATATATATATATATATATATATATATATATATATATATATATATAAAATTTAGTCCATGACAGTTATAGATAAAAATTATCATACATCAAGTGGTCATCCAAATTAGCAATGGCTGCTGCCCATCCCTGTTGTTGGAGATGCTGGTCATGAATAAGACGCTGACTGGCATCCATGCGACTTGAGTCGCATTCATGCGTCTCCTGAAAAACAAACACAGACAAAAAAAAAAAAAGAATCAAATCAAGCTATTATTTTAGACAATATTTAAAAAAAGCATCTGATCTGAATAGAATTTGAATCACCTTGCAATCAGGGTGGATCAAGTCAGTTCTGCAATGAATGGGAGCGGGGGGATTCAGGAGTCAATTTTTATGACAGATACCTTCATAGAAACAGCGTGCATAATTAACAGGACAGTGAATGAAATAAATCTTGAAACATGGGCCATAAATCAAAGTATCAATCAACAAAAGATCAATTTGAAAAAAACTGATATTGAACATACAATAATGTACTAAACGACCTTTGACAGAGAATTAAACTGGTAGGCAGGATAATCCTGGCCACCAAGATGTCAAAGCTCATTCCATCCAGGTACAAAATGACAAACAGACCTTTAAGAAATTCTAAATACTCCCTCACTTGGGACCCATAAAGTTTCACCTTCTGTCTTTTTTTTTTTTTGAGTGTTGAATCCTTAATCAGGTTTGACACTCAGTCAACATGAATAAAAATTACTTATTTAAGTCATGCAAAGAAAACAAGCCAGTCCAGTCAAAACTTGTCCAGTCAGTCGTTACCAGTCTCCGAGTCAGGGTCCACCCCAGTCATTCATTATACATTGCTTGGCAAGCCATAAGGAAAAGAAAGGTCCTAAGCTAACAATTGTCACCCAACCCCCGTTCATAAGTGGTAGAGAAATAACTTGTTTCATCCATTGTACCTGTAGAATACAAATATAGAGGGACTGATGAATGTAAATTGAAAAAATAAATAAATAAAAATAATTGTTTATTTTTATAGAAGAAAGAGCTTCCATTTTCCTCCTGATTTGACAAGTGGCATGAGACAGATTTTTCCCTTTTCAGAAATAAACTTACCACAACTTATCAAAATATCAGAGGTTTCAATGAGAAATCACATGACATTATGAACATGTATAATGATGATGACCAATAACCAAAAATAGCCCAACACTAGCTAGCATAAGTAATTTAGCTGGAGGGACTCACTCCCCCCGCCTCATCCTATTAAGGGAAAGATAGTAGAGTGCTTTGCCATAGCTGTAGTAGTCCTCTCAAGGACAGACTCTAGTCTACCCTACAAACTAATAGAATTCATTAACACTATTTACATTATTCAGACTATTGTCCTCATCTTTGTCGCCATATTTATTACAACGTTTCAGCCATTGTATGCTCCGTTAATTCCCCTCTCCACAAGGACATATGGCACAGTGGATAAAGATGTTGGTTAGATCCAGTGACAAGACCCAAAGAGTATAAGTTCAATACCTAGTTAAGGCAGTGGAGAACTTAGAGAGAGGAATTAACAGGAGATAACTGATAACTGACATCTATTAGACATGGCACGTGGAACTAGAACAGTCTACTGCAGTGAGCAAAATAAAGGGTTCAGTATGACATTCCAACCACCTGAAGAAGGCCAGAGCGTACAACAGCCAAAACATTGTAATAAATATGGCGACAAAGATGAGGACAATAGTCCGAATAATGTAAATAGTGTACATAATACTTCATCTCAGAAATATAGACAGAATTCATTAACAACAAAATAATTTAGGCTCCCAAAACCTAAACCAGTATAAATTTCAAAGCAGCAGTATATACTTTACCAATTCATCTGTTATATTTTCACAATTTGGTATCAATGACCCCAACCCACAAAACAATATTCTGAGCCCGCTCAATTGATCCACAAAATAAGAAAGTATAATTTTCTTTATCTTTTTGAGAAGATATTTAAAACAATTCCATTTGACAGTAAAACAATGATTAACTCAAATAATTTTTTAAAAATCCAATTCAGTTGAGATAAAAATGAAAAGTTCTTACTTTGGCCAATTTGTAAGCATCTGACACGGTTTCATGAGTGGCTGGTAAGAGAACAACTTCACTGATGGAATCAGACAAATCTTTATCTGTAAGAAAAAAATAAACACAGAAAATTGATGAATAGCTGATGCAACCAAACGCATAAAACATTCACACCTGCTTGTAATCAAATAATCAATGATAATTTTACTATAAATAAAAAAAATGCTACAAGAGACCAACATTTTTAAGGTTACATTTACTTGAGATTATTAACCTGAGCTCTTATGTACAAAGGCTTTCTTCAATGACAATACATTCATTTTGCTTTTCAGTTATAACCTTCCATAGATATCAGATTATAATATGATAATTCGAATTGTGCAACAAATTATGTGAATGATTTATTGACCTTTTTGTATAGAGCCCAGACCACTCAACATTTACTTGAAGCAGTTCATATTAAATTACATCAACCATCTCTGTGCAAACAAAAATAGCATTTTATTCATTCCCTGTCTGTTAGGAATTGTATAAGTAACAATTTTCTGTTTTACTCTCATCTGGAACCATTAAGGGTTTTTTTTTGTGTTTTATTTTTTATCATCTGGAACCATTTGTTTTTTTTTGTATTTTATTAACCAATATTTTACCAATAAATTCTAATTTTAGTCATGATTCCTTTTCTCCTCTTTACATATCTCCTGTAATGTGAATTGTTTCCCCCTTTTGTCAATTAACTTAGCTGACAGTTTCTTCTGATGTGTTAGCCAAAAGAGCTCTAAAGAATGTCTTATACATATTTAAATCTGTATATATGTTCTGTGGACTCAAATTTTTGTTCACACACACATATATATATATATATATATATGGCAGAAAATTATGTAAATTTTTAAATACCAGAACAATTTAACAAAATCAATGTCAAACTACCAGCATGCAGCTAAGTGATGGAAAACTCCTATCCAAGAAAAACTATTGTAGCATATAAATTGGCGAAAACCATAACAAAAATTTTAACACTTCTTAGAACAATCAGCATGTCACATTAGAAATTCAACTACCTGGTTGAAAACTAAGTGGAATAAATATGACAGATAAACTCATGGTTAGTTTAGATGTTACATCAATGTTCTTGTTAACAAATGCTTAAAAAAAAAAAAAAAAAATATCCTTACCAAGAGCTAAAAATCATAAAAATCTGCCATCTCATCACCAATCAATGTTATTTCACCTTTAACAATTTCTATAAACAAAAAATTTAGATTACCAGTCAGTTTGCCTTTGTGTGGGGTTTAAGCCCTGTATCTTTTTAGAATTTCTTGAATATGGTCCTTTCAAGAGTATTTTACTTAAACAACATATCTCTAATTGATTAATAAAAAATATATCCCTGTAAAACTTGGTCTTGTAGATAAACTAAACAAATTTGAACATACAATAGAATTCACTTATTGTAGACATTATGTTACACTGTACTGACAATGACCTAAAACTAAGTGTCCATTGCAAATCAACTAATAAAAATGATCACATAAATTTCTATTTTCACCATAACTACAAAATAATATCCAGAAAAATGATCAGAAAAAATAGAATTTGTAGCCTTCAATATTTATATCCAAGAGGAGAAATATAAAAATAATGTCAAGTTCCTCCAATACCCAAATTATATCATTCAGCACAAAACAAAAGGCTAATAAAATATTTCAAAACAGAATAGTGAACCATTTTGATAAACCCAACAAATCAAAATATATTGTTCTACCCATCAACTCTATCACAGCTCCAATTGAAAAGAATTTATCTAAGCTTAACATAAAATTTGTTACAACTACTTCTAAAACAATAAAAGACTTAATACAAAATAATAAGCTAAAACATGAATGAGGTATTGACTATCATCTGTAATAATTGCCACAGAAATACACATAAGAAACCCTGAGAAATTTAAATAAACGATTTATGTACACAAAAAGGATAAAGAATCTTTTACAAAGGAACACAATCAATGAATTAGTTACTCACCATAATGAGTTCAACCATAATTTTGATTTAAAGAAAAAAAGTTACTTTAACTAAAAGAAAGCAATTTACTAAGATGAAAATGTATAGGAAGTGCTTTCATTGCAAGATCATCCACAGTAAATTTTAGTCCAGATTATAGTAATATTTCACCTAGGCAGATTTTCTATTATCACAATGTGGAATACTTAATAACAAAAGAGATAAACACAAAAAAATAGAAACATACATATGTGTGTGTGTGTGTGTGTGTGTGTGTGGATATGAATGGATTTATTCTCCCATTGAGAACAATAAATGAGGAGGATTCATTAAATTCTAAGTTTTTACTGAATAACCTGCACAAGTGAATTGCTAAACAAAGTGGATAATTGCTTGTAGTCTGTAATGCAATCTCCGTATCCATAGCAACATCTCTTGTAAACTGGTGCACTGTGTGCTACACGTCAGATGATGCTACAATCAAAGGCTTGTTGAATAGGAGTTTTCCACCTAGTTGCATGTTGGCTGTTGGCTCCTATAAAAAATTCATCCACTCTTTGCCAACTCTCTCCAGGCTGGTTTGAATTCAAGTCTTTTCGTTCTCCTAGACTGGCTACAAACCAAGGCTATAGGGCCGAGTATGTCCTGCTAATTACAACTAGAGGTTGGGGGTGAGGAGAGATGGATTTATGCCTTTCCCAAATTTAATTGTGCCTAAGTAAATGTAACAAACTCAACTTTCTCTTTCCAAGCAGTTACTCGCATCATCCAAGCTCCTGGTATTCACAACCAAATGTCATGCCTAATCATATTTGTTGAAGTCCTACTGCTAACCTCCAGTTGACTATTTAAAATTACCTTCTTGGTGGACTCTTTGGAATTACTTTTATGGACCATCTTGCTTTTTGTATTTATTGCTTCAGTTTTTAGTTATTTTGCTAAATCACTTTGCTTTCGTGTCTTAAATAATAACAAGGTCACTTTAACTATGTTGGTGCAAAACTTTTTAAGTTAAAATAATAAAAACTGTTTTGTTTTTTTTTGGTAATATTCTATAATACATAATTTTTTAACAGATTTTTAAATTTACTGAGATTAGCTATTCTGTTTATCCCAGGAAGAAAAAATACTGTTTCCATATCTCAAATATGAACACAGTTCAGGATAAACCTTTGTCATTATATATGTCCACCATTTAACAAATTGCCCCACCCTTTGTAAACACAGCATCTCCTACTGCTGAGTCAACTCTTCTCTTTCAAAAACAGGATACTTTTGTTTTTGTTTTGTGATCATTTAAAAATCAAGGAACATTTCCAATGAATATTAAAAATAACTGAGTCAAACAAATTTAACTTCTTTGATCTTGACAAGTCCTTAACTTGAAAGAAAAAAAAAATACATTATGCCTTAAATGTTTTTGTTTTCTACATTACCTGTTCCATAGTTGATACAAGGGGGTGGAGGAATGGCGGCTTCAATGGAGGATTTGCTGAACACAAAGATTGGGTTGGTGTCCTGAAAGCATGAAGCAAATTCAAAGAAAATCATGTCAAATCAAGTTTTATTATTAACTGTTCTTTTTGTTAGTCAAATAAAGTTCTGAAACACACACAGACAGTAAAATAGAATGATTTTTTTCAATAACATACACACAGACTTGTACTTCTATTATTCCAGGATTTCAAACGAATAGATGTTAAAAGCATGAAATATTTAACATATTTTGAACTTAGGAAATTAAGACTTTCAATTCAAAGTTTACTTTAAAAATGATTATGTTCCATTCCACTAATGGTTTTGTTCATTTGCATATTTCTTCATTCCATAATTTGTTCAGACTAATATCCCCATCTCTGTTGGTCTTTTATCAGTATGTTTCAGCTATAGTGTATTTCCCCACCTCCATTAGGTGGATAATTCTCACACCCACATTCAAAACAATCAACAGAAGTGTGTCCTCTCTTGCATAACTTATAAGTGTGAAAAAGGAAAGTATTTCTGAAATGCATTGAAATGAGCAATTAACTCAAATTCTTGTGAAAGTTGACCAGCCAGAGAGGACAAGTGAATTGCTCATTTGATATACAATTGGCTGGATACTGGAATAGTGGAAAGTTTTGTTTTTGTTTTTTTTAGATCCCAGAGATTTAGAATTTTTAGAAGCTGTTTCCTATCAAATAATATCAAGAGGGCCCAGCATTTTACCCCTTTTATCATAAAAGAAAACAATTCCTAAATACAATCAGCAGATATACTTTTAGTTGCTGCTAATAGAAAAGACAGCATAAATAAACCTTAATTTTGGTAGAACAAAAAATATAGAGAAAAGAAGGTGATAAAAATTACATTGTGTCTTTACAAAACTAATGAAATCTGCTTATTATTTACAATGTAGTGGAGTGAGTCATTTTCATTATTCACTAAATTCAATAGACAGTTACTTTTAAAAGTGTGTGTGTGCGTGTATACATACGCAGGTTTTAGAAAGAGAAAAACTGAACTGGTTTTATGCTACCTGTCCCGTCATAGAAGAGACATAGGTTTATTGTGTGTGTGTAAATTTCTATAGATGCAAATTAGAGGTGAAAAAAAAATTTTGAAAAATTATACATACTGTTCCCGCACAATATTGGGCCACCCGGCAGTTGTTGTCTAGGCTGATACCTCCACTTACCAGCATCACCTGCTTTTCCGGAGACACATGACATAGTCGGGAAACCTGAGACTTTAGTGCAGCAACACTGAAATACAAATATCAATAAATTAGAGCAAATTTTTTATACTGTAAGATTCCTGCAATATTTGTCAAATAAGCAAACAACTGAAACAAGAAAACTGAGGCAGATAAGATAATTGAAGTAGTTTTCAACACTTAGATCATTCAAAAGACTATGTTAAGTTTTTCACAGGGTTACATTTATAGAATACCAGTAAAGAAATGTTTATGACACTCTTGTGTTTGACATGCTAACACCCACTACACAAGCCAGTATGTCTTCTGAAACAATTGCAAGTTTCTAGAAATATATAATTGCTGGATGCTTTCAAAATATCCACAAATCTTGTACTAAACATAAAGAAGCATATAGTGAACAATTCTGTTTTGGAAGAGGAAAAAACAGACTTGGAAACTTCAATACTGTTTTCAAAACAAACTTTGTTGAAAAATATTTTACTTTCATTTTGAGTGGGGTTATTTTTTGTTCTTATAAAAGATTCCTTTAGATTATTTCTTTTTTTTTCCATTTAACTAAGCATAAAACAATTTAATTCATTTTTATAAAACTGAATCTGAAGATCTAAGAGACATGCCAAAATTTGTCAAATACAGAGCTTTTATTTTTTTTTTTTAACCTCTATAAATTTCATTGATTACCAATTTACAGGTTACCTGCTCAGGGTATGTCAAACTGCTTTGATATCCCCCCACCACCACCACTATCACCACCACCAACTGGGCACTTAAAACTACAATAAAGAATAACGACCCTAAAAAAATTGAAAAAAAAAAAAATTTCTTGATACACAAGTTGTGACAAACTAAAAGTCCTAATCAAGTAATACATTGCAAACATGGAGTCATATTACAAAAAGTAGTGCAACAAAAATGAAATGGGGTAGTGTTGGCTAGAGAGTGAATACCCAGTGGCAATGCAAGAGCCACAAAAAAGTTACGTCTAGAAAGATAAAATGTAAGAAAGTAAATTATGATTGCTGCATCTGATCTTAAGAATGCCACATTGATTATGGTAGGCTAATATTGTGAACTGATTGTTTCCTTTGTTTTTTTCACTGATTATCAATTGTTATCTATCATCCTTATTCTTATAATCTTCTTATATTCACATCACACACCTTATCAGTAACCTTCTACTTTGAGTGGTCCTTGAGCCTTGTATTGTTTTTTCATATTCATTTTTTTATGGCTTAACCTTTTGATGGTTAAGTCACATAATATTTTTGAGATAATGATGTTCTCTATCCAACTAATTAACCCATAGCTGAGGGGAGAAAAGGTGGATTCATACCTTTTCCAAGGGTATTTGTGCATAAGGGAATTTTTTTTTTTTTTTTTACAATGATGTTCATCCTGTACAAGGCCCAATAGCCACTCAAGGCACCACTCCAAGCAAGGTGATAATGCCACCAAAATGCAAAAGGCCACTGAAAGTAAAAAAGACTTTAAAAGGAACCAGAAACCCAATCCTTATCAGGAAACAAGAGATAAGCCTCTACTCCTGTTAAAAAAAAGGAGTGTGAACCAGATGATAGGTAAACCTATCTACTCCTAGTGAGGAAATTTTTTTTTTAAGAATAAAAAAAATAAACTAAATAAATACTAAATAAAATTTCAGAGTTTAGGCAGAGATGTTAGAAGTATAGAATTGAAGTAGTCTATTAAGTTGAATAAATCTAGCAATTGTTTTAAAAATTGAATTTGCTATTATAACTGAACAGTTAATTTTCAAAGAACAGTCATTTTCTTTGGTCAACCATCTTAAAAAGACCAAATTCCTTTCACCCTGTCATTTTAATTGAGGTCTACTTTATGGGATCCAGGGTTAGTGGTTTCCCCTCTGCCCCTGGAATTGGAATTTGGCTCTCCAATTTCCAATTCCAGGCCATTATCCATGACATCACTCGCATATCCAAGCTTACAGCACCCATCTAGCTACTCACCAGGTTTGACATTGCTTAACTTTGGTAATTGTACAAAAAACAGGTGTTGCAAAATTGATATGGCCATAAGCCTGCTAATATTATGAAATGACTAACAATTAAATCAAACTTTTAAAAGTCATAGCAAGTATTCTTTTGTACCAAACACAAGTTCTAGTGATTACTGGAAGTTCTGTAAGAGTCTGTTGAACAAGAGTAAATCTTCAATCCCTACTCGCTTCAATCAGTTTGAAGTACTGTCATCTACTGCTAAAGCACGATGCTTTCCTTGAAAATTCTCTTCCAATTCCCTTCTCTTCCAAGAGTATCTTTATCTGATTTGTTCACCTAAAATGGAATCTTTACAGAGTGATATGCATATAACTTTGCCCGTGGTTTCTTTCATCTCCAAACTTGATCCCCACAAGGGATGCAGACTTGGTGGTATCTCTGCAATTGTTCTAAGGAAATGTGCTCTTGAACTGGCTCCTGTTCTCTCCAAACTCTACAATAAATGCCTTGCTGCTTCTTGCTTACCTGCTTGTTGGAAATCCTCTTCTGCAGTTCCTGTCTTTAGGAACTCTGGTGAATCTTCTCACTCTTTTTAGCAATGTACAAGTGAGATGTAATGGATAACGGCTCAGAATTAGAAACCGGAGAACCAAGTCAAATTTCAGTTGCATTCACTTATATGCAAATACCTTTGGGAAAGATATAAATCCATCTCTTTGACCTCCAACTATGGGTTGAATAGCAGGACAGACTGGGTCTTATAGCCTTGGTTGGCATCCAGTTTACCTAAGAAAAACACAGCAGCCAACTGAAGGAAATCTTTTACCTAGTAAGTCATGATTCAAAAGAAATATGATTGTTCAAGTGTATATCATGTATGTCAAGTGACTTAACTAGAGGTTCTAATCAACTCTGAATTGGTTAAGCATCTCACTTTGCATGACCTTTTTTCTGATAAATAATATGTCTTCTGCTTCCAAAGTGTTAATGGTTATTACTGAATATGTCTATCAAGCTTCAGATAAGATGTGGTTGTCTTATTGCCCAATTCACACACTGGCAGCTGATCTCTAAAATAATGTCCAGTCAGTTGTTAACCAGAACAAGAAATGGCTTGTAAATTTTAACACTTCCAAAATGAAACTGTTATTATTTAGTGATCATAGGGAACTATTTTTGTCTTCCATCAGCATGACTGATGTTAACCTCCTGGATAGCAACTGATTTCACTTTCTTGATATCACGTTTTCCACTGACATGAAGGAGTGATTATATTGAATCTATTGCTAAGTCTGCTGCTAAGAATGTTGGTTCACTGTGGTGTGCCAGATAATTTTTCTCCCCAGAATCCATCTTGCACAATTATAAATCTAACACTGGTCCATGCATTGAATATTGCTGCCATATCTGGTCTGGTGCTCCGGCTATATAGCTAGAGATCATCAACAAAATCCAAGGAGGGAGTCTTTAATGATATCCCTTCTGAGCTGACATCATGACTTCAGTCACTTTCCCAATCATAATATGGCTTCCTTCTGTCTTTTCTATAAATATTTGTATGGCAATTGTTCTAATGAGATCTCCTCCTTGGTATTTCAACCACCTGAATTTAAGTTTGGTAACTAGTTCTCAATAGTTTTACTGCTGAACTAGCTAAATGGAACCATAAGTTCTATTCTAATGGTTTCTTCTCTCTCACTTCTTGCCTGTGGAATTCTCTTCCAGTTTCTGGCTTCCATGCCACCTTCGATCTTCAAAAATTTAAATGAAATGTCAATTACCATCTTCGGTTTCCCCAATTCCTAATCTTTTATTGTTCTTTCTCCTCACTAGTGTCTTCTCATTTTCTTTCACTCTCAGTAACCCCTTGCAGCATTATCTCCTTGTAGAGGGGGAAAAAAAATTAGGGAATTTTTGATTCCTGGAACAAAATAGTTGTGTTGCAAAGTAAACCGTAGACAGGTGTCTACAAGATACTTACGTCTCAGTTGTGAAGCAGGTATCAATGCAGTATGTCTGACCAGTCTCCACAAGGAATACGTACAACATAACGGCAGTGATTGATGAAGTGATGAGACGAATATGTGATGTGATAGATACGAGGGGGTGTGGCAATGAATATAGAGGCACAGGACAAGAATGGTGACAACAGCAGGGAGGGATATCTGGAATCTGTCACCAGTCAGCAATAGAGATGGGCTGGAAGGGAAGCAAGATGTGCTATTCTGCCTGGTGTCCAGGGGCCCAAATGACAGTAAGGATGCTGCTGCTGCGGCTGCATACAACGTCAACACATACAGGCTGCAAGTGCACTGCATGAACCCTCTTACAGACCTGAAAAAGAGAATCACATTTTATAGATATATGGATATATAGATATTTGCATGTGTATATATGGGAAAGTGCTGAACAGTTTTCTGCCTGACTCAGAAACAGTAATTTTTTTTTTTCATTTGGAAGGGTTTCTTGGACACAAAATATTTTCAGCACCCCTTTATTGAAAATCACTGGAATTTAAAAATAAAACTTCAAAACATTATGCAAAGAATACTTGTTAGTACTTGAAAGTTTTTAAATGAAAAGATTTACAAAAGTTTATTCTTTTCCTGTGACAAGAGGAACAAATTTCAAAAACAATGATGCTTCATTTCATATCATTTGCTATTTTTACACCTGATTGAAATCATTATCAGCAGTAGAGTTATCTAGGAAAACAAGATGCAAAGTGTTAAAAAACAAAAATGGGGTAACATTTTAATTAAAATACCTATAAATTTTATATTTTTCTATAAAGCCAACCCCCAAAAACTGAAGAGTCATAATTTAAAAAAAAAAAAAAAAAAAAAAAAAAAAACACACACAAAACAAAGGCATAGCAGATCAGGTTACAAAATAAAAGGAGAACATTGTCTCCAGGAAGGGGTCAAAACAATAAGGTAATTTCTTAAAGAGGTGCACAAGATGAAAAATGCTATATAAACAAGCTTCATAAAAGGTTGCAAAAGAGACCAAGGAGAGAATTATGTTTAAGACTTGAACTCAGAATAAAAATAAAAAATAGTAGTTAGACTCTTCCAGAAATGAGAAATTACATTGTCAGTACATATACATGTGTATTCTATTCAGTAAATGTAATTAGAATGTTATTCTTGATAAACGATTGACTGCTAGTATGCAACTGCTAATGAAGGTTGGAAGATGTTTTTTGACACTTTCTCTTTGTTTATTTTGAAGGAAAGTAAAAGCAAAATATCTTAATCTCGGTGAAATTGCTTCGAAAGTGTTTTGACCATTGTTTTACTATATATCTGCAGGGATGATTTCTTAGCCATGAATACAAAATATAGAAATACAATGGATATTTATTCTCAATTCTGTATGTGTCGAAGGGAAAACTGCTTACCTCCTGGAACAAAACACACCCGCACAGGTCATGCATGCAGAATACGTAGAAGAAAATATAGCCAATCCAAAAGCTGCCATTTAACAACAACCTGATCTCGGAGCTCAGATTTTGCAAGACAAATTTGTGACTTATGTGAATTTGTGAACCTCAGCCACTCAATTAAATGGGCAAGAGTGAGAGAGCATACAAATTATTTTGGCTTCCCAATAGGCATAATGCCAGAGGGCAAAGTCAATATGAAACTCATCCCTGTGTTTGATGGCTCATTGTCCAGACCATCTGTGGTTAAATGAATTGAAAAGGCAGAACTTGTATGCAAGATGTGTGGTGTAAAACATCTTGAACACATAATATCCCCTTAAGGTTGTTGGGGAGGGTGTTTGTTGTCTACCAGCAACTGGGAGAAGAGAAAAAGAGAATATTAACCAATAAACGGCTTTAGCAATGGAAGGGTTTATGGTATATGAGCAAGTCATTGAGCAACAGCTTTGTCATGGCGAATCAGTCAACATATACTTGGCAGAGTTTTCAAAACTCACAGTATTATTTGGTGAAATGAGTGACTGTGGACTGGCATGTGTGTTCATAAGTGGATTACCAGAGCAAGTGAAATATCTTCTTTGCACTTCAACTTGGATGGACACACTAACAATTGACCAGCTGCTGGCTTGAGCATGGGCAATTATGAAGGATGAATTGAAGGGGGATGGGCCGGCAGTTGTGCCAGCGTGAACGATACAGGATGGGATGAAGAAGCTTCATACTAGGCATCCGTATACCATAACATTTCATCATTGCAATGGTGGTAATCATTTTGCAAAGGACTGCATTGGACCCACACAACAAAAGGTGGAAACCCCAAATATGCTGCTACAGGTGCAGCGAAATAGGCCATATCTCTCAAAATTGTCCAGGAAACAAGCCAAGATACTTCAGTGCCAGTCTGCTACTTGAACCCCATCTGAATTAGGTGCTATCTGCAATTACTGTATGCATCAATGGAATCAAGAGTTCAACCTTGGTGGACACAGGTTGCTCATGGTTGCTTGTTAGAAGAACACTTTGTCACTCCTGGAAAAGGAAGTAAGTGGATGTGCTCACTGTTGTTAGGTGGGGCCAGACTTGTTCAACATGGTGTGATCGAAAGGCACCCTATCGATGTTGAGGTTCCAGTTGTAGACTGGAAGCTACTGGTGTATGACTCGTTACTTGGAGTTGACATCATAAAGAGGCTGGGAGGTGTTGGATTTTCCTCAACTTGACCAACCTATGTGCACCACCATCATCAATGAGCCCAACTTTTATGCAGTATATGACCTGAACAGAAAGATCTAGGTTGTATCATGGAAGTGGTCTGATGACCAAACACCTCGTGCTGAAGAATCAGATGCCAGAGTATCCTGCACTGAAGAGGCTCATGAACTGCAAACCTGGATAGATAATGGCTACTTCCATGCTCTAAAGAAGAGCTTGGACCCCCCACTACCCAAAAGGGCCTAATCCCACTAATGGCTGTACTGTAAATAAACAAGCAGAAGGTTTGCCTGATAGTGGATTATCGGGAACTCAATCAATACGATGACACATCCACAGCTAATGTAGAAGTTTTCAAGCAAAAATTGAGGGAGTGACAACAGGAAGGGTCAGATGTTGCCATGCTGGATCTGCACTGGGCACATCTGCAAATTCATATGGACAAATCTTTGTGGCCCTTTCAAATGGTAGAAATCAAAGTGCAAAGGTATTGCATTACCCGTTTGGGGTTTGGGCTCAACATGGCACCACTGATCATGTGGTCAATTGTTAAGGCCATGGTGGCACAAGACAAATCATCCAAAGAGCTATGTCTTTGTACATCAACAACATATTTGTCAATGAGAATGTGTGCCCTGTGGCCCATTAAGAGCATACCTGGAATGATTTGAACTGATTAGCAAGAATCCAGAACAGCTAAAGCATGGCACCCATTTTATGGGTCTTCAATTCTGGGAGGAGTGGAGTAAACTGCAATGGAGATGTGAGAGTGAGCTCCCACCGATGCATATGCTCACCCATCAGAGGATCTTTTCTCTGTGTGAGAAAATTAACCAGACATCTGCCAGTGTGCAGTTGGCTCCACGCCACAACTGCATTGCAAACTCTGTAATGTCTGGCCGAGATGATGAAATACAGGACCTGCTTTTGGTTTGAAAGCTAACGGGTATCATCACCAGAATAGCACAGAAGGATCCAACATTTGGAGATTAGCACATGAATGGACACAAAGTCACCATATAGATTGACACAAGCTCCTTGGCTACTGGTGTCATTGTAGAAAGCAATGGATCTTTGGTTGAGAATGCATATTGGCTGCACCCAGTACACAAACAACAAGCACACTAACTTAGCAGAGTTCGATACAATGTTGAGAGGCATCAACCTGGCATTGCAGTGGAAGGCAACTGTGGTTTCACCTGAAGACAGACTCAGCATGCATACCTCTTAGGTTTCTGATACACTGTCTATAAAAATGAGAGTATGCACAAAAGCAGCATCAGAAATGTTAAGACATCGGCTTGACACACTCAGACTGTGAAATATGGACTAACAATTGACATGGGGCTCATCAGATTTCCCACGAACCAAGCAAATCAACTCACCAGTGTGCCTCAACAATGGCTAGATGAACTTCAAAGAGGAATGGAGCTAGAGTGCACTGCATCTGTAGAACAGCAGGAATCCACTCATATACAAACCATCCATCAACAAAGTGGGCAACCCAGCATGAAGCACACATATTTTGTAAAACAGGTCAGCTCTGAAGTCTCAAAAGCAACAGTTCAGAAGGTGGTCAGAGACTGCAAGGCATGCCAGTCTATAGACCCAGCACCAGTGCATTGGGTGTCTGGAAAGCTGGATGTGCATGACAATTGGAGCAGAGTTGGAATGGATATAACCTATTATAGAAGCTGGCATTATCTGACACTAATAGACTGTGGCCCTAGTCAATTTTGCATCTGGTGGCCGTTATCATGTCAAGACTCTGCCAGCATCATCCAGCAGTTGGAATTTCTATTTTGTGAGGGCCACCTGCTGAGCTACTCATCGACAATGGCGTGGCATTCTGTTGAGAGATGTTTGCGAGGTTTGCATAGAAATGAAGCATATTACTGCAATCCAGTGTGCCTATGTGCTGTCAGGGAATGATATCATAGAGAGATGCCATCATATCATCAAGCGAATTGCTGCTAGAACACAACATTTGATCATGGAGGTATTATATTGGTATAACATGACACCAAAGGATGACACAACAGACGTGACAGCACCAGCTAAAGCCCCACATGGTTGATGCACAATACACTTTAAAAAACAGAGTGATGAATCTATAGCCTACAAGTGGTCCTTGTCAATGGAATACTGCGCCACATCAAAGATCTTCGTCTGCATCACAGATCTATTTCATCAGAAGGCAACAGTAGTGATACAAGTAATTTCAGAGCAGAATCAGGAGAAATAGCAGAATCAGAAGACAACAACGATGATGCCAAGAAGAGAGGAACGGTGGACACAAACAAAGAGATTGACAAACAACATCCAACTTTACAAAGTAGCACTCGTTGAAGGAGACTACTGTCTCCCTGCCTCTTATGTGATCATGGCATCAGAGAGGAGTGTAGACGGGAAAAATGACTTACCTCCTGGAACAAAATGCACCTGTATATGTCTCGCATGCAGAATACATAGAAGAGAATATGGCTGATCTAAAAGCTGCCATTTAACAACTACTCAATCTCAGAGATTTTGCAAAACAAATTTGTGGCTTATGTGAATTTCTAAGCCTCAACCAAATATAAAATGAGCAGGAGCAAGAGAACATCAGAAAGGCTGCAGACACAGATGAGTTGAGTGGTCATGCTTCATGTGTAGAGTTTCGCAGTAGTCTCACCAATTGTAATTGAAAATACAGGGTACAACTGGTATTCCAAACAACCATACATTTTTTTCTTTTTCTTTTTTACTACAGTATGAAATTGTTATCTAATCTTGGTTCAATTATAAACAAACCAAGAAACATGCCCATATTTAGTTTTTAATTTACTTATTTTAATGTAATTTTATGTGTAAATATCTTTGCTAAAAGGTTTGCCTACTTTTTTTATTTTCTAATATTGTCTTACTTGTTCACAAAATATAAATTCTTTAAAAGTTAACTTTTAATATATTCATCATAATTTTTCCAGTAAAGATTAACATTGAATGGTCAATTTTATTGATGTTGTTAAAACAATTTGATACAACAATGCTACCAATATACCCGATACACATGAAGAAAAAAAACAAAAAAAAACAATCCAATAGATCAAATAGTTTGAGTTCCACTAAAACATTAATAAAATCAAAAAAGATAAGCATACTGGTCTAAATAATTTATAGAATAACAACAATGACTCACCTTAAAAATAAAAAAAAAACATGAAAATAAATCAATAAAAAAGGTAATATTCTATATTGGATTTAAAAAGTACAAAAAATTTAATATTGTAATATAATCTTCAAGATAAAGAATTATAAGCTACTAACCCAAATTTTAAAAGCAATGATAAATCCATAATGAAGAAAAGTTTTTTAGTTGTCTATAAGAATTTGTAATTTGTTCTAGGTTTCATATTGCAATCAGAATTGGTAGTTAACAGTAAGATTGAATCAGTTTTTAGAAGAATGCACCCGTATTCGCAATAAATCTACTATTTTTCACTAAGTAGTTTCTATTCTAACATGTATAAATGAAATCATAAGGTTTTCATAAAATGCTAGGGTTTATAAAATAGCTTGCCAAATATAATTTTATGAATTAAAGATGAAGAGTTTTAAGAGAGAATTTTAATTTCTAGGAATAGTGATTAGCTCATTTTTAATACATTTCCTTTAGCAATAGAACACAACAGTCTTTATTAAAAAAGATAATATTTAGTAACAACTGCTCCAAAGTGAAATATAACCATATAATTTAAGAGATGTTTGGGGAAAAAAATCCAAGTGAACTGATGATATCAAAAAATATGTACAGAGTATCTTTAGGTGCAAATTTAGGGAGGGATAAGAGGAAAATCAAAGTTTTAGTAAGCAAAAGATAAATAAAAATCATATTAATCATCTATCCTTTATGCCAGAAGCTTCAATCTGGTTTGAAACTACAGACAAACCTCTCATCAATGGACTATTAGAGGAGGGGTCCATTAAAGCTGATGGTCTGTAGATAGGAAGGAATTATTTTCGAGTTATAAAACCACTATAGTAACTATCACTAGTTATCATCATAATGTAAATACTATAAACACGTATATATGGCATGAATAAATATGTACTTAATATAGATATATTAATCAAAACAAAAATAATAGATTTCTCACAGCTATTTTCTCATGTATGCGCTAATGTATTGTACTTTATATATTGGCACCCATCTTTGTTTACATTTGAAAAGCCCACCACTGCCGCCGCCAAGTGGTCACTTTGAGAATTAATATGACTAGTTTCACTAAGCCCACAAATTTTGAAATACATCGCTGACAATTTTGAAGTTTGTTTTTTTTTTTCTGCAAATTTTTTTTTTTTTATTTTGCCTGCAGATTTTGTCCATTGCATCCAAAGTCCATTGATTTGGAGAGGGAGGCTGTAGACAAGAGGGTTTGTCTGTACATACTAAGCTCCAGTCATCTATTTTTAAGACAACTTTGCAGTCAGCATTTCTCCCTATTTTATTCAAAAAGAAAAAGGTCAGTGTTAATACCAGACACCTACTGAGGGGCATCCCAATAAAGAATTGCACTGAGGGAGTTTGACCATGGCATTCAATACTAGTATAGAATGCCAGGAACCTGAGAAATTTCAGTCTATGTTCTTGTGAGAGTGCACAAGATAAATACTGTATATGTGTGTGTGTATTCACACACACACAACATAATCTGGCAGGTTTAGTTCCAGAAGATGGCCAGAAGTTTAACAGCCAGAAATCAGCCAAGTTTGATTTGTCGAATATTTTTTCAAGTTCTTGGCTGTAAGTGCAAACATTTTCCCAAGTCTACACATAGTTGCCTTCTAAATAATTAACCTTAAGCTAATGGGGGCATTAATGAAGTCCCAATCCCGCTTCTTATTGGATCCTACCACACAGTTGGGATTCCTCTGGATGCCGTTACACAGGGTCTCTATGGTTGCGTCTTGACATTGTAGACAATGCAGAAAGACACACCAACTATGTTGGGGATACATTTTAGGGCAATTTGTGGGTGAAGCAAGTCACACACTCTTTGTCAGTTCTTCTATGAAGCCATTTTCCACAATATTCCCAACAAATGAGTGTGTATTAATAGCTGACAGTATACTCTTTGTTTTGCATTTGGTTTCACCTCATTTAGTGCAGTGGTCACTGGGTAAATTTTACAGCAAGTTTTATTTCCCCAACTGGTATGATGTTTTTCCAAATGTCTAGACAAGTGAGAGATGAAAAAAATAAAAAATAAATAAAAGTCTGCTCAGTTAATTTTATAGTTATAATCTAATTACTTATGCAGTACATAAAAAATATAAAGGAAAAGTCTACTTGTAGATTTCAAGATTCTTTTAAAAGTGTTCAACATATACAAATGTGTGTGTGTGTGTGTGAATTGGAATCAAATATGAATTAAAATCTGCCAATGATAGAATAAGGAACAAATAGGAAATGTTTATAAATTTAGCATTTTACTTTTGAACACAGAGACACACACAAAAAGCAAAGATAAGGAAGTAACAGAAAAAATATAAACAGGATATGGTGAAAAACTAAAAAAAAAAAAAGAATGAGAACTAGAAAAACAGGTAAGAAGGCAAGTTTGTTGCAATTGCCTTCTGAAAGAGCAGAAAAACAAAGATTAAAGCTGCCCCAAAATCTGGCAGAGAATCTAATTGGCAGCTTTTTGCTTGCAAATGTTCTTTGATTTATTTAGTAAGTAGCAGAAAAACAAAAAATTCCAGAAATAGTGACAGCCAATGCCCTTGACTTTCAGCAAGAGAAACATTAACTTAGTATATACCAAAGACGCACTTTTCAATCTAATTACACTCTTATGCTGATATAGGATTAGAATGTATCAGTTCCTCTTGAAGGATCAAAGGTTGTGTCCAAAACAATCTCTGAAGATTATTCATAGATCAAATAATTCAGTAGTTTCTTGGCAGATTTGAAAGTCTTTAGCAGAGGCCCCACTTTTACAAAAAATGACTTGGTATTATGAAAAGGAAAGACCATTTTATTTGTTACACTTCTATGCTCTTCATAAATGCAAAAACTTGCCAAAAACCAAAATTACATTTTTATATTTAAGTATTTTGTCAACATTACATTTATCCCTCTTTAGATACATAAGATTATGAATTTTCACTGACCAGCAAAAAAGTTTTTACATTTAAAATATCACAAAAATGAATAGAAGGTGGAGATGGTGATAATGATAATAATAAATAAATAAAAGCAAGGTTAGTGTTTTGTTTTTGTCATTTTAAGTTTGAAAAATGAGATTGCCATGGTGATGTGGGAGCCACCTCTAGATACTTGGGACCCCCCCCCCAATCAGGGACCATCTAAGCAGACTAAGTAACCTGACAATATTTCTAACCTTGGCCCTACCTGCAAGGGTATACACTGCTTTTATCAAAACCTATCGGCATATCATATACTTAGTTGTTATGCATGTGTTCCTAGTATACCTCTTATCAGACTGGGTGTCAATGATGGGTACATTGGGCTTTTTATTTATATATAAATATATATAAATATAAATATATATATATATATATATATATGTGTGTGTGTGTGTGCCCCAATGACACTTTGTTGGTTTGCTGCTCTTTTAATAATAACTATTATAAATGTTGTTTAAAATGCTGTAACTAATAATTGCAGCAACAAAAAGAAAAAAGTTTAAGACAAGTTTACACTTGAGATACAATATTTCTTTTGCCTTCACAAATGTTTCAATTTATTCATTCCCCTGTCATCGTCAAAATTTTTTCCAATGCAAAATTGATGTTTACTCATCGATTTTAAGCCTGCAAGGACACAAGTTAAAATGAACGTTGGGATAATCATTTCTTAGCAAGCATTTTATTAGAATCCATTTTAATACTATTACTACTGATTAAAGAAGAGTATAACCTAATGTAAGAAAGAGCATTCCCCAAACCTATTCTTCAAATTTTTATATTACCTTCAAAAGGTGCAGCTCAAAATCTTTTCTCTTCTGAATAAATGTGCCAAACAAAAATACTGTTCAAATGTCACATGTAGTTCAATTACAAAAATAGATTTTTCTAATTTGAAAGTTTTTTTTTATCCACATAAAAATCTGGTAACATATGTCAACAAAACAAAACCTTACAAGTATCATCATATAACCAACAGACCATATTCATACATCAGTTCAAATAGTAGTTTACCTTATAGACATTAAAATCAGTTGATACAAGAATCTCAAATATATAGCATAGAAATTATGTTATCATGAAATAACAGAGTCAAGAACATGACAGATTTAATTTATTTTTAGTCTCTACAACAACAAAAAATGTTTTTGTCTACTAATTTTGGTCATCTACAAACATTTCTCTGAATAATTTCTATCTCCAAAACAAAACTGAGAACAGAAAATGAAAAAATAACATACAAAAAGAGAAAACTGATCTAAGCTAAAATTTCCTCAGCTAAAAAAACAGTAGCAACGTACAATACATGACCATGAGAAAAGAAAATGGCTTCAACAGGTGCCCCTCCCCTATTTCTTGACCTTATCAAATATATTAAAAGTAGGGAAACAAGCAGAGAAACAGACATGTGACCAGAGTGACTGGATTTAAAAGAGAAATAAAGAAAATATCAAGCTGAGTAAAGCATCAGCTATTTTATTGATCAATAAAAAAAAAAATCTATACATATAAACCCTAGGTTTGTTTGGCTTAAAGCCCAGAAATTATCCATAGAGAAATAAAAAAAGAGGGACTATAAATGATTAAAAAAAGGCTTGAAAAAGCAACTGTCATGGTTGCTAAGGTTACAAGTAACATCTACAGGTATAATTAGGCCAGATTTTAAAGGAAAAACACCAGACAAGTAACACCTGCAAAATCAGCAATACCCATAAAATACTGTCTACTAGCAGATTTTAAATAATTTTCCAAGCAGAAAAGAGATAAAAAAAAAAAAAATTTAAACACTTTAAAATGCATGTTTTACTATATCTCATACTGTAAGAAAAAATATTTGCAATATTAGTTTTGTTTCCATTTTTTTTACAGTATTAATATTCCTACACATAGTACTACTGAGAGATCTTAATAAATAAATAAAAAAAAAAATATAGAAGAATACATAAGCACTCTTTATCACAATGAGCCAAAATTCTGTGATGTCTATGACTAATCCTTAATAGTGTAATAATGGATTTTATATATTCGTGAGTAAGAAAGTAAATAAAATTTTTTTTTTTTTTTAAAAATCACCCATCATAACAGTAAATAGAATTTTATCCATGTATCAACTGTTATGGTGAATTTTAATAAAAACTGAAATATTTACAAATTAGATGAATTTACATGTTTAAGCACCACTTAACAGGAAATGTTTTTCAAAATTACTTTTACAGCCTTTTTCATTACCCAAGAAAGATTTTAGATACACAGAAATAAAATTTTATAAGATATAGATATTTATTCTATGTACAGCCAATTTTTTACAAGTACACAAAAGTATTTGCTGCCATAAGGTAATAGGGAAGATCACATGACACAATTTTCTACATAGGAAAATGCTAGCCAGTCTTAAAAATTAATCCGGTCTTCTACCTAAGCTTGATTACCAACTACAGCAAGCAGAAAAATACACAACTATTTCAACCACCAAGCAGGCAGTAAGAAGAGATAATGAGTACAATTATTTATCGACTGTAAATTATAATAACCAAACGCCACTATCATCTGCTTAGTTCTAGAGACTGTAGGTTGGTTATAGAGATGTCATCACAGGAGGTTCAATCAAAAAGGACACAAACCCTTGGCTGGTGTGTGTGTGTGTGTGTGTGTGTGTGTGTGTGTGCGCGCGTGCGCGCACACACAAAAAAATACAGAAGAAGAAAAAAAAAAACAAAAAGAAAAACTATGCCCAACTGTCTACCCTGCCCCACCCGAGTATGATGGATGAGTCAGATTCAGCAAGGCATGAATGGAAGTGTGAGGTTATTTACTGCACCGACTCAAACTAATAATAATTCAGCAGTCAGCATTTGGCATCAGTTGAGATTGCATTAGAGTTTAGACCCACCAACCATTCATTAGTGGTGGTGATGATGATACCAATAATGGGAACAAGAATAAGGAGCTTAGTAATCAGGAAGTGGCTAAAAATATCATCATCATGAATATTATTGATATTATCAATTATCAGACATTTCACAAAAATGACAATAATGATTCTAATGAGGATTAATAGAAAAGATAATTGTGATAATAATTTTAATAACAAACCTCAATGTTGGTAATGCTGATCATGATCTCTATAAATCTGATAGTGTTGCTACCATTCTGTGATAATGAAATTCACATTTATAATAAATTGTTGTAAATAGGAAGACTACATACAATATGCCAAACTCACATAAAAGTACAAAATTCCAAACCTCTTTAGTCTTCAGACCCACCCATGAAGTTAATATGTTGATAATGGGGGTGGGAGAAAGAACACAAAGTTCGTTCCATAGTAAAATTCTCAATACATAAAAAGAAATAAGTTCATTCCACAATACCTACCCATGCAGAACAAATTATCTAGACAAACTTTTTATATTATATATTTCACATACACAATACAAATATAAAATTTGTCACTTCACTGATAAAGACAAAAGGAAATAAGTTTTCCTTTTGTCTTTCTTCATAATCCTTTTACAGATATACTATCTGAAATTATCAATCTTAACATGTTCACTTTTATTAAAGCTTTGTCAGAGATTAAGAAAAACAGACAAAAGTGATATATGTTTCCTATTTGTTCTTTATCATCCTGTCAGATTCCAATCAATATTTGATCTTTAATTTATATATATATATATATATATATATATGCAAAAGATGCTTGAATATCCTTATGAAGACATACACAGGAATTTTTTTTCAGTTTGACTTTATCAGTTCAATTTTTGCAAAATCTCATTTATCTTCAGAGGACCCTTAACTTCATTCACACACACACACACACACAAAAATCTGGTTTGTCTATGTTCACAAAGAATATTTCATAGTCTTTTTAAAAAAAAAAATCTAAACAAAACAGTTCCATCCTGCCAGCCCGTTATGTATTTCCTGCAATCATTTTCTTACTTCCAATTCGACAATAGTCTCCTTTGTCCTTCAATACATCATAATCGTGCACAGCAATACACACACACATCTTCAAGTCTTTGTACACATGCATTCACACAGACAAAATCATATTGAGTCATAAATGCATATCCCTCACACTGATGCAGTGTAAACTAGTTTACCTATAAGTCATACACACATAGATAAAACCCTTTTTTATATTATTTATATTGTTATGTGACAACATTAAAGCAAATGGCAGTAGTGGGGAAAGAGAGAAAGCTTCATTCACATATTTATTCAGTCACCATTGCTCAGAACCCATTCCTGCAACATTGCATCAGCAGTAGAAGAGGTTAACATCATGACAGACATCAAGATCCACATGAGAGAATTTTCCAAAGAATACATTGACTGCTACTTTATGCAGCAGCAGCAGCAGCAGGTGTCTCTCAAAGGGAGAGAGTAAAGGAGAGAAACAGGCTTACCTAACATGAAAGAGGTGTGTCATTTGCAAGGCAGATGAATAGATCTACTATCATGAAATAAATGACCTCATACAAATACGCAGAAAATTATTTTACAATTTGAGAAAATTTCTGAATCATATAGAAAAAAATAAACAAAGCAAAACTTTATTTGACAATTCTGTTTATCTTTAGAAAAAAAAAAATTTAGTAAATTCCAATCATGGATAGTTATAGGTATCTGCTCCCAACTCGTTAACGGGTTTCAATCTTGTCTTAAGCGATTACTTACTCCAATTCATAATAATAGTTAACCTTGAATTTTGAAGACCTTAAAACCTAAAAATAAAAATTACAATTTTCATGAAATTCTACATAAAGACTTTCTAAGACATTCTCTTTTGGAAATAAGTTAATTTCTATTGCCAAATACACATTTATTTTTTATACCAAAAATAAATGCTGTTTGGTGCTATATAACTCAAACATTAAAAAAGAAATTTAAAACAGACAATAGATTTACTTTCAAAATTATACATGAATAATGCATCATGTCAAATATCAAAGAATTGAATTCTCTTTAATTACAGATGCAGATTTGTTTGGATTAGGGAGAACACAAGTCAGTTGTATCCTGGCAATATTGGGAAATTAAATTTTTCGGACATTTTTTTTTTTCCAGAAAAGAATATTAACTATTTTTTCAATGAAGAAAAGAGTACAAATCTTTATCAAAGATGAAATAAAAAAACAAACATTTTATATATGTACCTACTCTTCAATTAACACTCAGGACATAGATAAATACTACAATATTTACTTTGAAACCCTAAATTATACAGCTGTCTGTTTACTTCTAATGGAATAAGTCAAGAGTTTTTGCATTAAGGAAAAAGACCAAATAACAATTTTTGAATTCCTTAGAAAAGTTTTAAAAAAATGGACAAAAAAAAAATATCTACAGTCAGATTCAAACAGAAAATATTTATACATTAATTTGAAAAATATGAACAATCTTATTTCAAAAATAAAATATAAAAATAGGTATTATAGCTTTTAATAAAATTGTCTTTTCTAGCACAGCAAAAAAGCAAATTGTGCTGCTGCTAATTCATGATGTCATTCTTGCAAGAAAGACGTGTGCATCATGTGTCTGAGCCTCTAGCTGAAGTGAGCGGGCAAGTTCAACTTTCTGATATTACAGACTCACAGACAGGGAACCGTCGAAATCAATATGTCAGTCTGAACTGCTGTAGTGTATATTGACCGAAACAGTTGAACAGATATTGACTCAGGTTCCTGCCTATTATCAAGGCTGTTAGTCTTGGAAAAGAACAACACGGATCAGAGTGAAATGCAAATGGAACTGTTGAGCTTTACACTTCTGACATTTTATTCTCCTCCCACCACCCCCATTAAATATTATTTTAAAAATGATCCTGCTCTGACTGAACTTTTTGTAAGTATGAACCTATCTGTTTCTTTGAAGGTAATTTTTCTTAGATAACATTTTAAATCAACACTAAAAATGAACTATCAGTTAGATTCAATTAAAGCAAAAATCTATAAAGGCTTTTTGTACAAGAAAGATTTAACAGATTCAAATATGAAGTCTGTGTACAATGATCCATCTTTAATTGATAGAAATTAAAATTTACTTATATTTCAGCATTTCAGTGTGAGAGAGAGAGAGAGACACTTAAACTAAAAAAAAAAACCCAAATGGTCTGATTTGGCAAAGCAGAACAGGGTAAATAACTGAAAAAAATGAAAAAAAAAAATAAAATACAGAAATCTAGATGAAACCCAGATCTTATGGAATCTAAGAATGGCCAGTCCCCCCCCCCACACACACATATATATTTAAAAATGTTTCCCCTCAAAGAACAAAAAGGTTCTCACAACATATTGATCTTATCTTAACAGCCCTTGAAAGTCTTTTGTTAAACATTGGTCTTCTCCAAATCTTTCCATCTTTGCCATTCGTGTAGAGAAATAGGCCATTACTATGCTGGACCAATGAATGTTGATAGGAACATACAGCACTTGATATTCCCAAGTGGTCACCCATCTAGGTACTGACCAGCCTCAATATTGCTTAACTTTGATGATTGATCAGATACGAACTGGTGCTTGAATGTGATATGGCCGTAAGTTTATACAGATCTAGTATTACACTAATTACTAAGCCAGAAATTCTAAATATTTTACTTAATTCCAATTTTTTTTCCTGGTTATCATACATGTGTATATAATAGGGACATAGAAATCAACACTATGATCTGTCTGTTTGTCATATATATATATATATATATATATATATATATATATATATATATATATGTGTGTGTGTGTGTGTGTGTGTGTGTATATGTATGTGCGTCACTCTATAAAAGTGATTGCTGAAACAAATGTTCATTCTAAAACCATTTGCACAATTATTTTGCCAAAACCTCAACATTTAAAAAAATCACCCATATTAAAATAATGGCTATGTTCAGACAATAACTTTAATGAAATAAGTGACTAAAAATCAAAATTAATTTATCACCCCACAAAAATAAATTAGGTAATTATTGTATAGTGATTGCCACTTCCAAATATCACAAAATAGTAGCAGTGTTAGCCAATTTATCAATTTTTACCTTATAAATTGTCCATGTGTAATGTCTCAAGAGTATAATATATTTTTAAAATGTTTTCTTGTATAACAGAAATTATTTTGGTAAAATGCAGCAAAAGTGTTTTAATGCTTTAGGTGTAATAAAGAATTCTCGGATATAAATGTTTCATATACAATAAAATCAATTACTTATTTACAAATATCAGTTTGCTTTCCTATCAATATTTTTTTTTTCATTTTCATATGCCTAAAAGTTGCAAACTACTGTTTATTCATTTTTTTTTTTTGTTAAATCTTTTTTTTTTCTTTTTTTTAAAGAAAAAAGTTTTCTACAACACAAATAGAAATCACTAATTTTACAAAATCATTACAGTTTGGAAAACATTTTGTATATATTTATAGAAACATTTCAAATGTACTCTCCTACCCCAGTAGTCATATCCTTTATGATGTTTTAATTAAATTGATTATTATTCATTTATATCTAAAATAGATTAAAAACTAAATCTGCTTCCCAAATTAACCTAATGCATTCTATCTATGAATAATTATATATTTTGTGAGGTGCAGAAAGCATAAAAATTGATATGACATACTGGAGAGAAATGTAACAAAACCAGCCAGGAAACATTTACAAGTAAAATGATCCTGTATCAGCCAAATTTTCTGCATATTGCAAAGAAAATGCAAGATTAAATGTTACATAGTTTGAATTAAATTTTGTAGCTTTTCCCATCATGAAATACTTTAAAAATATCGTTAAAGCAATAAAAGTAGACATTAACAAATAATTCATAACAAAAAATATATATTACAAAAAAATGGTAATACCATTAAAAATAATGAATAAATTCAAAGAAATGGTATCAACAAATTAATAAGTAATGTGAATAGATAATTAAAATAACCTCATCAATTCCAAGACAAAACTATTCTTTCTAACCAAGCAAGGTCACCATTTAAGACTAAGATTAAGAATGAAGAAAAAAAAAAATTAATGTTTTTTTGATCCAAGCCTTATTAACAAAGTTATCTGGTACTGTGCCAATTAAAAATAATTTCTATCATCACTAACCTTTTAAGAATACTTTTCATGTATACTGAGTAAATAAACAATGAAATGAAAAAGAGAATCTGGGAAAGGAAGACAGACAGGAATGAAGTAATCTTAATATACATGGATATCATATATAGCTTATTTTAGGTACAGCCACAGTTCTTCCTTCTCAGCCCCCTAAAAATGCATTTTAAATTATTTAAATGTCCTCTTTGAAGCTAAATTTTGGTTTTATTTGAAAGGTAATAAATAGCCTATAGCTAATCCATACTAAAAAAAAAAAATTTTTATATATATATATATATATATATATATTCATTTCCATAAGTTTTTAGGCATTTTTAAAACATTGGCAGGTGTTCTCATCAATTCATTGAACTGCCATTGTAAACAAAAAATTTAAAAATCTCTTAAAAATCCAATATTTATCCTAGAAATATGTTTCAAAGTCATTTAGTAAATTTAAGGATTAATTAACTAGAATTTGTAAATTTAATGTTTAATTTTTGACTTAAAACCTAATGAAAATAACATTTATTAATGCATGGTAGACAGTGGGTTCAAAGTTAAACACAAAATCAGTATAAAGAGACAGACTTAAAAATGCATAAAAAATTAAAATTAAATTCAGAACACCAGCAGTGCAATAATCAACAAATTGGTATTATTGTTTAAAAATAAGTTACCTTTAACCTTATATAACAAAGTTTAAGAATATCATTTTTTTTTATTCTCTACACATTTATTAAACTTAGAATGAATAATTTTATTTTTTATATATTAGAAGTAATTATTTTTTTAGTTAAATGATATTTTTGTGTTCAATTCATTCCTTTTAATTTTTTTTATTATTTTCTTACATATTTCATGTCATAAAATATATAATTGCACCCAATGTGATATTTTAAAAATAATTCTGAATTTAATAAAACGTATTAAAATAACAGATTTATTACTAACAAAAATATGGGAAAAATTGGTAGAGTTATTGAATTGATGATGTTAATTACGTTCTTTAATTATTCATTGTCATTCAAGTGATGACTATTTTTATTTTGTCCATAAAATTATTATAATCCTATATAACCAATAGTTTAAGAATACATTTTTTTATTCTATATGCATTTTTATAATTCATGTATTCTTAAACTATTGGTAGAATGGTCAAAGATGAGAATTCATAATTATTTCCCTTTTGTACATCCAGAAAAAAAATAATCAAACAGTTGCTAAAAGGAAAAAATAAATTTTTTTTTTTAAAAAGGTTGACACTCAAAAATGGCATTAAACTTTACTTTTCAACTCTTCAAACATGTCTTTATTTAATAAAGGTCTTGTGACAAACACTAATAGGATGAATTTCAAAATAAGATGTTTTTCAGTCCATTGTGAAAGAAAATGTGTTTTATTAAATTATGGAAGCACCCATTCTCAAAAAAAATATTGTTTTCGAGTTTTATTGAATTATTTTTGGTAAGATTCAGGACAAATTTTCACTATGTTCACACTTGATATCACATAAATCTTTTACAGAAATAACATCCTCAAGTACTTTTCTTTATATAACTGTAAAGAAACTTGACAAACACCCTCCCCCCAAAGTAAAAAGTACACACAAGATTGAAGAGGGGGAGAGGGGGGGGGTGAAACAGACCTCCCCTCCAAATATTTCCACAAAGGTTTCTAATGAAATAAACTATTCAGTATACAATTCATTTATTAATGAATAAGTACAAAAATATTTTGTTTGAATTGAATAATTTCTTAATTTTTGATCAATATTTTAAAAAAGGGTAGCAATTTTTTGATTTAATTTCAGAAAAAAGGCATCTATTTTGGTAGCACCAAGCTGGCTTCTGGTTTTTCGCTTCATTCACATTAATATAGACTACAGTTTTAAAATTAGTTTTGATGTATCAATGCAAATTAAAATTTGCATATAGTTTTTCTGACCTTATTTTTTTTTGTTACAAATATTTTAAGATTTATCAAGTCTGGCACAAGGCCACGTGCGAGACATTCATAAGGATTAAATCAGCAATGGCTTCTTTACGAGACTATCCTACTAAATATCCCCATGGAATGCATCCAATATAGAAAATGTTCTACATGTTCTGATAAAAAAAAAAAAAAAAAAAAAATCAACCAGGATTCAGTAGAAAACTTTCCATAGATTTTATGAGTTTATAATATCCTAATGAAAAAGTGAACATGCTGGTAGGGTAACATTTATCAACATAGAAAGTGGAATCAGCAAACTGAGTTCAAATCCCAGTCTAAACTGTTTTCACTTTTGCACAAACACCCTTGGAAAATCAATCTCTTTTACTCAACTAGCAGGGTAGACTGGGTCTCACCAGCCTTGTGTGGTAACCAAAGAAAGAGAAATCTGAATGGGAAAAGCAAAAGGAAACTACAATTACTCAAAAAAAAAAAAAAAAAAGCATAATTCATAAAGAAAAAGAATCTGTTGAGAACCGTGATTCCCTACATCTTGAGACAGCATTTGACAATTTTGTTTCTAAATGAGATAATAATAGCCTATTTGTAATGTACTAGTAACAAATAACGTTATCAAAGTGAAAGGAATCTTTTTTTCTTTTTTATAAGTTTTACTGTCACTCAATTGCAGACAACAAACTGCTATTTATAGATTATATATTGACAATTCTTTTTATATAAAAGGTGGCCTGAATTTTTGGGACGCAATTTGAGTGACAGTTTTATCATTACTAATGCCAGACTACAATTATTGAAGGCCTTTGTTTACCAGTCTTGTTCCATAGTACAAAACAGAGTTATAATGACAGCATACTTATAAAAAAATGTTTTAAATCAAAAATATTCAAACAAGAGAATTCATAATAAAATAAATAGCCTAAGCTGTCACATTTAAAGAGTTTTATTTAGAGGATTTGAACAAAGGATGCATCAGCCCTTTATTTGAAAGAGAGTTTAGGAAAGATTGGAAAAGTTCCAAGTAGTACTAAGTAGGTTAACAGCAACAACACTATTAAAGTACCTCAAAAGAAAGACAACTAATAGAAAGAGTGTTGAGTAATGCCTACTAAGGTAGGTGCCTCCAAACAAAAGTGATACCTAAGATTTAAAATGAAGTTTAAAAAAATGAAAAATCTTTCATGAAACCTATTTTAGCTTTAATTTCAAGCTAATAGATTAAATTTAATATTTTCCAGAAACAAAATACTTTGCTGTATTTGAAAACAAATTTAAATTGATGGAATTAATATTTAAAAAAAATGGCCAATTTTAGCCATCTGTCAGCACAATTCTCTTTATTAAAAAAAAAAATCTTTCAAAATAAAATATATTTTTCTGAAACATTATTTGATTTGAAATATTTATTACTTTTAGTTTAAAATATTGCAGAAAAGCATTTTCATAACACAGAGGTGAATGCTTTTATGAGGTGCCGACAACTCTCACTTATGATTGGAAATTTTTTCAAAGGGG